AGAGACTTCACTGCTAGCAGAATCATCTCTGCTCCAAAGCGACCAAAAGAGGAACAGATTGGCAAAGAGAGGAAGCGAACCTCTCCAGGAGGTCCACTCAGCACGAGAAGTAAAAGGAGACCAATTCATTTTGGGCATGGAAGCAAACGACGGCCATTGTGTGCGAGGATGCTGAATACAACCAACCTCAGGAGCCGAGATAGAAGTAGGAATGTTGTTGTCAGGAGAACACCGACTTTCTCTTTCAAAAGCCATCCAAAGAGAAAGAGTCTCGCACGCCCAATGCTGGTACTTGTCCCATTTGTTTCGGACATGAACCGGCATGTTAACAGTACAAATAAGCATGTTTTGAGCACAGCGAGGCCAATCTCTGGAAGAAGGAATAGGGCAACGATCCCTCATGTGTTCAAACTTGGGGCACTCGTGGAGGAAATGATAGATATCAGCCGATTCACATTGACAATAAGGGCAAAAAGAATGAATCTGCTTATTCATTCGCCATAAACGAAGCGGAGAAAAAGGCCTCTCTTTTTGGTATTGGATAATTTTATAAGGAACCTAGGACTACAAAAAGGGAATCAGGGTACTACTGGGCATCCTAGGGGTTTAGGGTCCTTAAGGACGAAATGACCCTTAAAAGTAGGGGCCCTATACCCATATACTATGAATCCCTATATGGTATATGAACCTTGCGAAGACTAGTCACTTTTCCGCTAAGCCGTAGGCTTGGTCCAAGGGGCCCCTGCGGTGAGTATGGTCCCCCTGGGGCGCGCCCTACGCGCTTCGCGCGCTTCGCGCGTTTCGCGCGCCTTCGCGCGCTTCGCGTGGCTTCGCGCGCTTCGCGCGGCCTCGCGCGCTTCGCGCCTCCGCGCGCCTCCGCGCGCCTCCGCGCGCCTTCGCGCGCTTCGCGCCTCTCGCGCGCCTCTGGCGCCTCTTCGCGCGCTTCGCGTGGCTTCGCGTGGCTTCGCGCGCTTCGCGCGGCCTCGCGCGCTTCGCGCCTCCGCGCGCCTCCGCGCGCCTCCGCGCGCCTTCGCGCGCTTCGCGCGCTTCGCGCCTCTCGCGCGCCTCTGTGGCGCCTCTTCGCGCGCTTCGCGTGGCTTCGCGCGGCTTCGCGCGCTTCGCGCGCTTCGCGCCGCTTCGCGCCTCTCGCGCGCCTCTGGCGCCCCTCCGCGCCCGCTTCGCGCCTCTCGCGCGCCTCTGATGGCACCCCTCCGCAAGCCTTCCCGCGCTTCGCGCGGCTTCGCGCGCTTCGCGCGCTTCGCGCCGCTTCGCGCCTCTCGCGCGCCTCTGGCGCCCCTCCGCGCCCGCTTCGCGCCTCTCGCGCGCCTCTGATGGCACCCCTCCGCGCGCCTTCGCGCGCTTCGCGCGGCTTCGCGCGCTTCGTGCGCTCCGCGCGCCTCCCCGCGCCTCCGCGCACCTTCGCGGGCTTCGCGCGCTTCGCGCGCTTCGCGCCGCTCCGCGCGCCTCCGCGCTCCTTCGCGCGCTTTGCGCCGGTTCGCGCCTCTCGCGCGCCTCCGCGCACCTTCGCGCTCTTCGCGCGTTTCGCGCGCTTCGCGCTGCTTCGCGCGCTTCGCGCCGCTTCGCGCATCTCACGCGCCTCTCGCGCGCCTCCGCGCGGCTTCGCGCCACTTCGCGCCCTTCGGTTGGCTTCGCGCGGCTCTTCACGCGGCTTTTTGCGCGCTTCGCGCCCTTCGCACGCCCCGCGCTTCGCGCGCTTCACACGCGCCCTTCGCGCGGGTTTCGCGCGGGACTTTGTGCGTGCATATATATATATATATATATATATGAGCCCACGTGCATGCATCCATGTGCGAAAAGTGTTGTGTCAACGAACGTATTCTTCATGTGAAGCTGCATACTCCGAACTTGGGACGTTTACCGAGGCTGGCCGGCTTGCAAGCACACGTTGGTCTGTAGTCGACTCGAAGTAGTTCCGAAATCCATATGGCGCCGTTGACCTCTAAAAAAATTTTGAACAACCTGAGAACCCTAGGAGGATCATGGGACTTATAAAGTATAAGGTTATAAGTACCTTAATTGGGGTTATAAGTAATTATAATTATCGTTACCTTAACCCAGCCTTGAGTGCTTGGCACCAGCTGCCCAAGCTGGCGAGCACCTCCTCCGACGCCGGGCAAGTTCCTCTGAGCTGAAGCGTGGAAAAGAAGAGCAAGAGCGCTTCATGCACCACGTAGGCCATGCGCTGCCCTTTCTTAGCAGTAGAATCAGCTGCAGTTAGTTGGGCAGGTCTGCGCGATTGCAATGCCCAACCCGAGATGGACGAAGCAAATGGTAAATGTGGTAAGGTTACAATCGCTGCTGCTGATGTGTTTTCGACTGCGATTAGACCGTCATCGTTTCATGTTGACGCTTCTACCTTCACACAATAAGCCAACCCCGACTCCACATGACACCTCCTCCACCAGAACCCATGAACCAAGACCCCAAAACCCTCTGAACAAGGAGCCAAGATCAAACATCCCCGTCACTGTCTTCCACGATGATCCGGAGAAATGACGTAATTATGCCAAGGACATGACACCTCCTCCAGCAGGAACCCATGAACCAAGACCCTGAACCCTGCAAAGAGTCCTGATGGGCGGCCTCTGTCGAGACCTCCATCGCCGCGACCTTTCGCAGTAGAACAGGGGGGCAAGATCAAACATCGGCGTTAATTACTGTCTTCCACGAAGACCCGACGCTGGGCAAGTTCCTCTGAGCTGGAGCGCGGAAAAGAAGAGCCGGAGCGCTTCATGCACGACGTAAGCCATGTGCTGCGCTTGGATGGGCTGCTCTTAGCAGTAGAATCAACTGCAGTGAGTTGGGCAGATCTGCGTGATTGCAACATGAGAAGTCACCGCTGTATGGCTGCCCAACCCGGGATGGACGAAGCAAATGGTAAATGTGGTAAGGTTACAAGCGCTGCTGCTGATGTGTTTTCGAGTGCGATTAGACCGTCATCGTTTCATGTTGACGCTTCTGCCTTCACAGTAAGCCAACCCCGACTCCACATGACACCTCCTCCAGCAGGAACCCATGAACCAAAACCCCAAAACCCTCTGAACAAGGAGCCAAGATCAAACATCCCCGTCACTGTCTTCCGGGATGATGCTGAGAAACGACAGAATTATGCCAAGGACATGACACCTCCTCCAACAGGAACCCATGAACCAAGACCCCTAAACCCTGCAAAGAGTCCTGAGAGGCGGCCTCTGCAGAGACCTCCCTCGCCGCGGCCTTTCACAGTACTGTTGTCCTGACTCCAACGTAAGCTAACAGGTAATTAACGTGCAGACCCGATGCAAACGAGGTCGACCCCCACCGCCTCGGAAGTGGCTTCTTCGCAGCTGCCTTCGCAGCCTCCAGCAGGCTTTCCTTCTTGACTTCGCGCAGAGCGCGCGTTCTGCACAGCATGCATTTCGCGGCTCGCTTCACCATGACGAAGGCTGGCAGACCTACAACTAGGAGAATGCTTGTGCTTTGGCTGGCTGTAGCTTGGAGCTTTGTCTCTGCGTGTATGCTGATTCGTGTCGTGCGAGGTCCTGCTTGTGGCACAGATGGCACAGCATTTCCTCATCTGTGTTATACATTGATCTGCTAGTATGGTCAACATGAACTGAGCCCGTTGACTACGTAGCTGCCCTGCTGTGATAAAACGGCAGGCACGAGTTCGGCGATAGCGTCGACTCGACGGCGCAGCTCCGGCGGCAAGGTGACATGCGCTGCGTCCCGGCCCGACGCATGTCTGTGGTATGTAGAAATGTCAGGTGAGTGATTACAGGCCCTACTACTACTACTACTACTACTACTACTACTACTACTACTACTACTACTACTACTACTACTACTACTACTACTATTTTCAATTGAACGCCGTGCGACCGGGCTCAGCACATTGCGGGCGATTGCCGCGGTGCACGCACTTGGTGTGAAACTGACTCGATTGACCCTATGACTGATATGCTCGAAGAGGCGAGCACCAGCTCCCTTGATGTCGTGCTACTTACCACTACTGCTACTGCTGCTACTACTACAACTACTGCTACTACTACTTGCGTGGGGATTTGATCTTGATGATGTTCCTTGTCGCTCACCCCACCGAGCTATGTTGGGTAATGATGTGGTTGCCCTCTACAGACTCGATCACTTTCTCTCTCTCCCACGTGTCAGCTTCACTCCCTGTGCAGACAGATCCAGAGCTCGCTTGTTTTGTTTTGCACCTTCGCGGCCAGCGATGGATCGTCGTTTTATTAAACGGATGAGGGGATTTCATACATACATAATAAATACATACATATGTAAATCACCACAGACACACATGCACATACACATGCGGCTTCGCGCGAAGCGAAGCGCATGCAGGCTGCTGGCGTGGCTTCGCACGTGCTTTGCGCGGCTCGCGCCGGCTTCGCGCGGCTTCACGAGAGCTGCTTCGCGTGACTTGGCGCATGCTTCGCGCGCGCATCTGGGTATGTTTCGTGCGGCTTCGCGCACCAGACGCCGGCTTTGCGCACCTGCGTGCGCGCACCTTCGCGCGGCTTCACGCAGCTTCGTGCGCGGGCTGCTTCGCGTGGCTTCGTGCGTGCACCTGCGCGCACTCTGCGTGCGCACACCTGCGCGCGCGGCTTCGCGCGGGCTGCTTCGCATGGCTTCGCGCGTGCCCCTGCGCGCGCTCGGTTTCGCGATGCTTTATAGCGGCTTCGCGCGCTTCGCGTGGCTTCGCGCGGCTTCGCGCAGGCTGCTTCGCGAGGCTTCGTGCGTGTGCGCGCGCCCGGCTTCGCGCCGCTTCGCGCTTCGCACGGCTTCGCGCCGCGCTTCGCGCGGCTTCGCGCGTGCTTCGCGCGCCCGCGCTTCGCGCGCGCTTCGCGCGGCTTCGCGCGCTTCGCGCGCCTCGCGCCGGCTTCGCGCGGCTTCGCGCGGCTTCGCGCGCCCGCGCTTCGCGCGCGCGCTTCGCGCGCCTTCGCGCGCTTCGCGCGGGCTAGTCCCGTCCCCAGGGCGGATCATTCTGCAAGTCCTTTCCCCCAGCGCATGACGACCGAACATCCATCCATGCGGATGTCCTTGGTCATCTGCTCCCGGAGTGACGGTTCCATCGTCCCCTTCATCAGGACGCGTCCACCGTCGCCTCGGGTCACCAATGCGAGAGAGCTATCTCCTCCGATAATAAAATACGAGCTTGGTTGCTCTTGATGCTCGATTCTTCGGAGGGCTGGAGTATACACCGAGTCTAACAACGCCGTGGCAGCTGGCATTAACTCGTGGTAGCCCAGGGTTTCCTGGGATAGCACATACGCTCTGTGACAGACATCAAACGGCTCAGTGGCCTTGAGAGCCCGTTCGGCGTTTGTGGCATGCCCCACATAAGCCAGGTCGCGGAGATAAGCTTTGACAAGTTCTGTCCACTCCGTCAGGAGGGAATCGCCATGGAGCTCGAAGCCCTCAATCGGCATTCCCTGATGAGCCGGGCTGTTGAAATGGCGGTGCCACATCTCGTACAGGAGGGGAAAACCTGCGTAGGGGTACTGCTTCCGCAGACCAATCCACTCGCCGTTTCGGATACGGCCGAGGAAAATGGCCTCTGGCGGATCAGACTCCGCAGGCTCCACCAGCTTGTACTGGTACGCCTCCTTCACAACGCCATAGGCATCCTTAAAATATGCCGGTTCCTCGAAGGCCATCGCTTCCGCGAGGCAATTAGGGTCTTTGAGAGCCCTTCGAAAAGCCTCGATGCGTCGACGACGCTCCTCCAGAGAAACGGTGGGCAAAGAGGATGCCATCACTGCTGCGCTTCCTATTGGATCTTCGCTCAGAGTAACTTGTACCGCAACAGCAGCTTGTCGAACAGGAAATTGTGGCTCTGAAATGTTCTTGAGCTTACAGCCATGAAAATAGTTCATCACTTCAATTGGCAAATTCTTGTAGGAAGTATGCAATCTCCAATGACCTAAATTGCCTGATCTTTCGCCATCAAGAAGTTCAAAACTCGTACACTCGTGATTGGAACACCACCTGACAACTCGATCCATCTTCCATGAGAAATGATCCCAGGGAGCAATCACGACGTAATGGCAGTTATTCAAATCCAATCCGGTGCTTAAGTTGACGAAAGAAGACCATAGCTTGCCAAAGTGTTTGCGATCATCAGGACCCCCCGCAAAGCGCAGGTCAACCCAAACGGTAATGGGAACATTCGACTTGGCATAGCCTTTGACAACTTTGAGCAAGTCCCTACTCGTCTGAGTACTGTTAAGGTCCATGTTGTGAGTGACCCGAGCAACAGTTGGGCTACCGCTACCACTATCGTCTGCCCTTCCGAGCAGAGAGAACGACGGATCGTGTCCCCATTCGATGAGAACCCCGTTGCTCTCGGGCTCGATCCTCTTCTCGAGGTGGTCCGGCGTGACGATTGGCGAAGCAGGCCTTGATGGTTTGATATAGACATGGCCAATGAGGAAAATCGCTCTCTTCCATTTGTCAATGTTGGTAAATGGCTTAGTCAAAATGTCGGCAGACTGCAACAAGGTACTAATATACGCGAGATCATAATGCTTCCTTCTGAACTGTTCCGATACCCATCCAAGATTGATTCTTTGGGTTTTGTCAGTGTGCCTAAATGCCGGTGACCTTCCGGACTCCATGATCCTAATGGTGGCCTGGTTATCTTCCAACATTACGGGTTGCATGCAATGTGGTGCAGCCATGATCAATGAATGATCGGATCTGATCTTTGCATCATCAGTGTACTCAAAGTCGCCAAGCCCATGACGGAGCTTGTAAGCCTCATAATTCAATTCGGCTTCTGCTTCCGCAGAGCGACGATACTCCAATGATGACTTCCGGTACAGGCACAAGATGGCTTTAGCATCCTTCGGAACCATATAGGAGGCATTCTCGAGCTCTTCCCAAGCAACAGCTTCTTCTGTTCTGGACCATTTGTCCCCCCGGAGCAACCATACATCTCGAAGAGGATGGGATGCGAGCTCAACGGGTTCAAGGATACTGTCACCGCCTGAAAGAACAGCTACTCGACAATCAATAAGTTCATGTCTACCAGTCTTCGGTACCTGAGAGGCAACATCCTGATCTGGGAATTTGACCAAACAGGCATCTCCCTTCCGGGGTGCGCTCGGCTTTGATGCGTCTGAACCCCCCCCTGCCTTCAGGAGCACACTCCATAAAGCGGAGGATGGCAAACCAACAGTCCTCAAAGCAATATTGGCGCATACAACCTCGGACTCGGTAGAACTAATAGAAATTGAGGTTTGCTTCTTGCTGTAAGCCGCCAAAGGAAAGTACGTGTTTGGTCCGACCAAAGCCTCGAAGCATCCTGATGTACTCTTGTTATCATGCTCACCTGCGTGATCTGCATCAGCAAACAACCATATTTTGCACTGGTCAATCGGGTCACCGATGAATCCCCTCAACTTCAAGTCTAGGGTGGAATTCACATAGCACATCAATCGGTGTAAAGCCCGGTCACATTCAGCAGACCACTTGGTAACTCTGCTAGCCAATCCCTGAACAGCCCGTAAAAGATCGTAACGAGCCATTCTGGCAGCAAACAAAAGCTTCATCAGAACTCGGCTAGCGATAGGAGCCAATTCACCCTTTGCCTCGGCCTCATCATCGATGGGCCTCGCGATCTTCTCGTCGGCGAATGGAGTAGAGGCTGACTTGAGGGTGTGGTACTTGGGGCCAGCAAGGTCTTTGTACTTTTGTACAGCTTGTTCAAGAAAAGACTTCATGTCATACTCGATGATGTTGACGGGTTGTTTCATGCATCCAGTGCCGCTAGACAATTGGCTGATGTCATAGAAAGCCTGTTTCCTAGCTTCCTTCTTGGCTGTGTTCTTGTCACGAATGCGCTTAACAGCAGCTAGGGCATGATGCTTGTCAATACCACGATCAAACAAATAAGTGGTTCCCGTCCAAAGTCCCGAAGCTTTACCCCCCCGGAAACCATCATCCCATTGTTCTTCTGAAGAAGTACTTCCAAGAAGCTGACGCTCGGTTAACCGCAGGTCGCCGATGTTCAAGACGTCTGCTTCCGCAGCGCTAACAGCATACTTAGCTTTGCGAGGCTGCATATGATGGCGAACAATAACACCTTCATCAGGAAAGTACTCCGTATAATCCTGGGACGTAGCCGGAACCGAAGGTTTGGCCGCGGGGTCAGGAATGCTCTTATCAAAGATGTGGGCGAAGGGATGGTCAGCTGTTCCCAGTTGAACTTTCTTCTTCTCTACATGTTCACACCCAAGGTATCTTCCAAGTGGAGTCGGGCTATCCATATCGATCTTGGACCCGATCAGCTTCCACCCTTCCTGCATGCTCTCAACAGGTCCAGCCATCTTGAAATCATCGACGTAGACAGCTAAAAGTAGGCGAAGCTTAGGATGGAAAAAAACCGAAGGCCATGAAGAAGGAAACAGAAGATCAAAACCCACTTGTTTGAGTCTCTGCTCACAATGCTTCTCCCAGAAGCCCCCCGAATCAGGATGTCCGTACAGCGCAAGGAAAAGCCGAACTACTGGATCCTTGAACTTGCCAACCCAGGACTTAGGCCACCGTTCCCTTGGCAATCGAACCCAAGTTTCGGCGCCTTTCAAAGTCGTCTGAGTGTAAGCTTGCTTACCGTCGGCCTGTTCACAGGCGAAACCTGGCTGAGATCCGTACGCATCCAGCACCTTGCCCGCCTCCATCGAAGCAGGGCTCGAACCTAACTCCGAGAACAGGGCGGCGTTGCTGCTTTCGTCCTGGACATTATTACCCTGGAAGACCGTTCGGCCTTTGAATTTCCTCAGGGGATTTCCTTTGGGGAGTTCGCTCCCTTTTTCTACACAAATCTCGAAAACACGTCCAACATGGGCCTTGCGACCCCGTCTAACGGCTTCCGCCGAGATCTCTGACCACTCCCGTGGGTTATCCATATCCCATGCTCGCTTTTGCATCAACTTATCCCATTCCACATCAAGCGACTTCTGGGCATCGCTGTTCTCCGCGAGCTCCTTTTTGCCAACCGGACGAGCCACTAAAGCCATCATGACTTCCAGCTCAGATTGGGTGAACTGATGATCATTACCAATCTTTTCGCGATGTTCCCCACTACGTGGGATGGTTGGCATAGTCGGATAGGGTTCCCCCACGATATGAGCACTGCTAGTACCCAAGGGTAGGATCTCAAAGATGGTTTTGCCGGTCCATCTAAACGGCAATTTCTTGTTCCTTCTACGCGGGTTTGTCCACTCATCTTCATCAGCGACAGTGTCCTCCGTTCCCACGGGGATAATCTGCAAGAACCTTGACGGCTTTATCCTAGAAGTGGGAATGGGACAATCGGTGATATCAGGAGAGAATAGTTCTCGCCTAGGGACACAATGATACCGTACTAACTTGTTTCCCTTGATCTCCCATCGATCTCGGGACGCTCCAAGCGTCGCAGCAGGCCTTGAACTCGATGACCCGCCACCTGCTCGATCGGCACCTTCATGATATTCCCTAGCGATCTTCGCAGCCTCTTCCGCTATCGCCTTATCTTTCTGCTTCTTGGACAAATTAACCCATATGTGAGAAGGAATGCCATCCGGCTTCTTTGAACCTCTGGACCCTCCATATCTCCTACCAAGAGTTCCACCGGAGTCATAGAGGCGCCCGCCTTCGGGCAATTCCACGAAGTCACCTGATTTGGGATCAATAACTTTAGGTACTTCTACTTCTGCCTCACCGTCCCCATGAGGATCTACGACTGGTTCCGCATCCTGATTTCTCAGAGATTCAACGACAGGCCTTTCAATGGCGTCATGCGCAAGCCCGTCTCGGACACGGTTGTAACGTTCGACCATGGGGAAAGTGAACTCACCGTCAGGCACTTTCAATTGATGCACCTTAATAGGCTTGTGGTACTCGTAGAAGTCACTTCCATTCAGCTTAGATATCGGAATTACCAACATCTCTTCACGCCAACGCATTCCCGGTTGGAAGTGATAACCCATGAAGATCCCATGTTCTGATGAACTCTCAAATCTTTCGTACCCTTGCAGCTTCCGCTGTTCTCGAGTACCGACCCAGTAGTCTACTCGGCAACCAAATGGAATCAATGGTCCATGAAAGTCCTTGCCGAAACGCAAAGTCCATGAAGAGTACTTCGTACCGTTGGGATGGCTTATGTTATGAGCAACACAAGCATGTTGTAAGGCGTGAGGCCAGTAAGCATGAGCCAGACCAGCTTGCTCCAGATTCGCTCTGGTGCCTTCCGTAACAGTCCTGATCGCACGTTCAGCCATGGCATTGGACTGATGGATGTAGGCCTTAGAATGTTCATGCTTCCAGCCCATTTCTTCTACTGCCCCGTTGATTTCAGGGGCATTGTCACTGTAGAAGATGCCAACATCCTCGTTGTTAGCAACGAAATGGTTGAGCGCTTTGTAGCACTCGTCCTGAGACTCCCGTCCGGAGGGGTAGGCCGCGAGGAAACCTGTTGCCACGTCCTTCATGACCAAAGCTAGTCTAGAATCCCTAATCTCTTCTTCGTTGTCACGGTAGACAATGAGATGATCCCCAGTGAGATGGTCGCCGAAATTCTCAGACTCAATGAACCTGGAACCGTTCGTTTGATACGACGGCGGCTTGAACATCTTTGCTCTCTGGCACGTAGGGCAAAAGGGGTTCTTCGGGACGTGAGTCATAAGATGATGTTTGCTCTTAGCCTCCTCACGTAGGACCTTCTCTCCTCTAGAACGCTTATCTGTCTCAGCGGGAACAGGAGGAGGAGGTGGCTGATCCTCAGCATTTTTCAACTCCCCGGCTTCATCGAAATGCTCCTCAATATCAAAAAGATCAGACATGTCTGCACCCTTCTCAGGCTCGGGCTCAGGCTTCCGCCCGGCATCAGGCTTGCTGGGCTTAGACTTAGCCTTGCTCTTCATTAAGGGAGGAGCTGGTTCAGGAACCTTATCTTTCTCGGCTTCAGCTCTCTTCTTCTTCACGAAGTCGTATAGCGTGAGCTCTTCATCGCTGTCGCCGGTAATCAATGATGGAACAAATGGTAATCGCCTTGATGAATTCAACTGAAACCCAAGCGACATTAGCGACTTTGAATGTTCCCAGCTCAAACCGTCTACATCCCGAATCGTGTATGCAGTGATGGTCCATCGATCACCTGTCCAAGGCTGTGCCTGATGCCAAAGCTTGGGGTGGAAGGATAACATCCGATCATGAGTGTCATATACTCTTCCGTCGACTTCAAGTCCCCCCGTAACCTTGACGCACTTTGATTTCCCACCAGCTACACCTTCTCTGCGAAATACGGGAAAGTTGTCTTTCCGCTCAACCCATACGGAACCACCTTGATAGCTTCCAACGCCTAGAGTGTGATTGAGCGAGTTATCATGATTCAATAAGTCTCGATGCACCCGGCGATTGCCACCATGGTTGATGCAGATGGACGTAAAGGTATCTTTCAACCCTCTTGACTTCATGAAGGCGATCAGGTACTTGGTCAGCTGAGCATGACGATCTACAGAATTTGTAATCCCAGTCATCCCGCTGAAAATCCAAGCGCCGATGATTATGTAGTCCCTGCCAACTTCATCTTCAACCGAGTCGTTGTTCTCAGTAGCTTTCATTCTCCTCGAATTCCCTGTTGACTTGAATGGTGTCAATTTCAAAAGTTTGTAACACGATCCCAGACGAAAGTCGCCGTTGATCCGAAGTTCCCTTGCATATTCCTCAGCCTCTTCCAGCGAAAGAACCAGATCAGTCTTATGATCTTCATTAGGCTGGGGCTTCCGCCTCGCAGGTACCGCCACACCTTCCTTCCACGATTTGAGGTAGGGGACGTAATCCTTCACATCCATGTATATCCGCTCACCGCTAGATGACTGGAAGTAAGGTCTTGTACCCGATCTCCAAACGAAATCGAACCCCTCCTCCATGCACCTGTAACCAACGGATAGAACGGAAGGTGTGCTAGGCAACACATATGGATGGCTGTCAATTCCTAATGAAGGAACTGCGATGTTGGACTGAATCTCAGCAGTGCTAGGCCCATTAGCCGTCACAATACCGATAGGGTTTTGGGAACGATGGCTTCTCAAAGATCCGAGATCCCCCTGTGATACCAGGTCCTGGGCGCTACCGGTATCCGCGATCCACTCGATGTCGAGCTGCTGGGCTTCCGCTTTGGTAGCTGCAACACAGGTAGCTTCAATGTGTTTCGGAATGCACTTGTCGCAACCGAACTCCGTGTCACACTCATAACCGCACTTAGCCCTTATCCCGGAACCATATGCATCCAGAGTTGCTTTAAGCATCCTGGCAGTCGTCAGTGCGTCTTTGACATCCTGTTGACTGGGTCTAGGAGGTTCCCCACCGAAGGACTTCAAGTACCTCCGTGTCTCGGGTTCCGTCGGCAACATCTTTCCGTCAGGTGGGATGTTGATGAGCATCGGATTATCGTCGAAACGAATTGCTGGCAACGCACATGAAAAGGTAGATGACATGTCACCACGACTATCGGGCAAATCCTTCCGGAATGCATAAGCAGCGTCGGCTTGGGTACCCGATGCCGCGGCGATCAATGCCCCTAGGATGCAGACTGCAGCGGGAACCTTTGGTGACTTAGGACCCTTTCGCTTGTCCGAACCCTTGCTGCCCTTAGAGTTCTTCGACCCTTGAGAGCCCTTCGAGTTGGACCACGACTTACGATGGCCTTTCTTGTCTTTCCCCTTGCTGCCTGCGCTTCCTGGCCTTCCCCCCTGAGAGCCGCCCTGTGACGTCGCAGCAGCGCTTGGCTTACCTGTGTGGAGGAACGTGCATGCACTTCCTTTCTTGCACCGTCCACTCTTCCAGAACTTGCATTCTCTGGGCTTTCCGTCATTGTTGTTGCCGGATGGTGAACGAGTGCGGCCTCCACCTCTAGAATGCGACCGGCCTCTCTTCTCAGGGATCTCATGCTTGTACTTGCACTTGTCTCCTTTGCTACACTTACCGTTCTGTACGAACTCAAAACAAAATCCCTTAGGGACGAACTTCTTCTTGGGAGCGGGGGCGGATGGTTTCCCATCAGCACCATATTGCTTGGCAATCCGTTCCCGGTTGCGTTCAAGACGCTTGCGACTCAAGTAGTTCGTAGCCGCATCATACAAAAACTTGTAGGTCTTCTCTGGCTGCCCTGGTGTTGCCCTCTCATAGATGTTGATGTCATGTGCGAGATCTTTGAAGCGCTTAATCTGCCTATGGAACAAGGGCTCAAGGAAGTTCTCATCGGGGGTAGTCTGGATCCCTGACAATACAGTTTCCCAGTTGTGCATGAACGTCTCAAGCTTCTCATTGACCATCTTAACGGATAAGAGATCCTCGAACTCGTAAACTGAACCATGCTGTGCGTTGGTAGAAAAGAAGTTATCCAACTTGAAAAGCACTTGACGTCCCCGAACAAGTCTCCCGGCATTCGCCTCTCGCTCCTTGAAGGTATCGACCTGTCTCGCAAAGGCACCTTCCAGGATGTTAGTGACCGCCGACAGTACCTTAGCATCCAAAGTGACGAACCCTTCCGGGTCGTGAAGATCTTCTTCCTTGACATCTTTCTCCCAGACCTTGGAAAGCCACGAAAAGGCATCATCGGGACGATCGGATGCGGCAACGACCGCTTCACGAACCCTTAGCCTCCAGTTCCTGTAGCTCTCTGGTTGCGGGAACTTTGGGAAGGTAATCTTCTCAGCTTCTTTCACTTTGGGCTTGTCGTCTCTTTCGGGCTTATCACCACGATCACCAACAGCTTCACTCATCCGCTTAAGAAGCTTCTTCATTGTCTTCTTATCAATGCGGGATGATGAAGAACTCGAATCACCAGAGCTACTGCTAGAGCTAGAAGGGGAAGACGAAGGTTCTCGCCTACGTCGCCTACGCGACTTCTTCTTCTTATGCTTCTTATCCTTCTTGGACTTCCGACTGCGACGATCATGATCATCATCGCCTCCACTAGGGCCATTGCCATCCGGTCCATCGCCACCACCACCGCCACCTGGGCTGGAGCCATCTGGAGGGGTTCGCCTCCCGGCGTCCGTCGCCTGTTCCGTAGGAGTGTCACCTCCATGCTTAGGTGTGGAAATGGGATGTACAGGAATGCCGGGTGGAGGTCCTTGTGGAATTCCCTCTTGAATCTTCAAAGCAGCATCTCTAGCTTCGAAATCTCGAACCCTGGAGCTTAATGCATTATTCTGCTGAATCAATACCTCAGTCTGCTGGCGCTGGGCGTGAAGCTGCCTCATCAGTTCATCCATCCGAGATGACATATCAGCGACCTCATGGGATCGCATCGCATCATTCTGACGGGCAGAAGTTTCCACTTCGCGAAGTCGCTTAGCATTGCTGTTAGCTTCCTCTAAAGCTCTACGGGCAGCTTCCGCTTGCCGATTGGCTTCAAGGACAGCGAGTTCCCTCGCGCTTTCGGTTTGCTGGAAACGAACTTCACCTTGACCCATTTCAGACCTCTGAATCGACAACGCAATGTTAGCATTGCCTAATTCGTTCCTCAACTTGGTCACCTCTGCAAGCCCACTATTGTACAATGCACGGAGCTGCTCCTGATGTTCTGCTCCCAATTCGCCGATAATCTGATTGTGTCGTGCCTCGGCGGCAAAGGCGACCATCGGGGATGCGTCCTGATTAATCGTCAAATGCCTGGCATCGACAACCTGAAGGTTCTGGGTGACGCTTGCTTGATGATAGTGAGGTGAATAGATTGGTGTTGATGGGCTGGGCACGCCCGTAGCATGAGCCAATGGTCCAGGTATTCCTACCGGAGTAACAGGTGCAATAGATACTGGCGTAGTAGGGACACGTTCCCTAAGCAACGAATCAATCGGAGAGTGCGCTGCATCATGTGACATGATTGCCAGTCCGTCATTCGGCAAATGACTATCACCTGTTGGCATTAATGGAGGAAATCCTTGATCACTTGCTTCATCAGTTGCCAATGTCATATCTGAGATACCCGTTGGCACTGGCTCGGCTGTGTCCTCCATTCCGGTGTTACCTGCAGGATTTCAGGAGCGACCTGGAAAAGGATATGGCTCGACTAGGCTACGGCTGATAACCTATAGCTAGTGCACGAAAGCACCAAATCGCACACACCTTTTGTCTTGAGCCAAGCAACAGTAAAGGTCGGTAGACATACGTACAAAGAGCAATAAAACAGAGTTTGAGACTTGAACAGCGTTGGCAAGGATTCAGGCCCCCATATGGGGTTTGCGAAAACAGTGGGCCCTTAAATAGTAAAGTACCCTAAATAGTAGGGTCCTTATTCTAAGGGCCCCAAATAAGGTACCCGCAATTTTCGGAAACTCCCATATTCCAAACAGGTGTCTGTTGTAGAGATACTGGGAAACCATGCAGCCGGCGAAAGAGGCGCTTCAAGGAGGAGACCTGGGTTCCCACTGCAGGCCATCTCTAGAGTGCGGGCTTGTGGGTTTATGAGGGTTTAGCTTAGGGTTTAGGGTTTAAGGGCTTGGGCACATAAGGCTATTACGGTTTACAAGGGCATCGGGTGCAGGTGGCGTGGGTTTGGGTCCCCGGGTTCAGGGTTCCGTTACCGAGGCATCCTGGAGCTCTGAACTTTGGCATAGGGGCTATAATGTGTATACTTATGACAACGACATACCTGTAACCTATTGGAAATCAGCAAATAATTAGTTTTGTGAAAAAGAAACAAACAAAATATAAAAAAAAAGAACAAACAAAAAAACAATCAACAAAACCAACCACGTCCAAAAAACAAAAAGAAAACAACAACAAAAACGAACGAAAAAAACCGCAACACAAATGCAACAAAACCACAAGAGTTCAAAATCAACAAAAACCATTAGAAAAAAACATAACACACACAGCAAAGAAAACACCAACAGGTGGTACGCAGAGCTCCTTTTTATTAACTTACATTAAAAACAATCCTCAAACCTTTCGCAAACACCCAACCGAAGTTAGCAAAAACAACGGACAACAAAATCCTCCGAGTCTGTTGAACTCCTACTAAACAACTAGTAACTAATTACTGTACTAATTGTTACTGCATGTTTAAGAAGTTGGCACAGGACTGTATACGTGTATACCTGCAAAAAAGATGTCTGAATAGCAGGACGATCCTCAAAAAAATGATCTACCACAACAAACACTCCTCCAACGGCATCCACCATAAGGGTATGTGCCGGGTAATTAAAGACCGATTTTCTCCATGCTGCGGAGTGGAAAGGCATGGCAGAAACATAGATGCAACCCCGTAATAAAAGCTCCCCTGCCCGGCATGGTCGCTCGTTGTAACACCCTCGTGCATGCGTGGCCTGGTGCTGCGGCTTCTGTGTCTTGTGCGCGCACTTTGCTCGCTTGTGGCCGGCAGTCTAGTCCGAGACTGCACGACACACAATACCATTTGCCCTGTCGAGGTACTGGGTGTAGCTTGCGAGTGTCACGAACGCAAACCCCTAAACTTCTCAGACGAAACGCCATCATATCCTTACCGTAAGCACCCTTAGAAGCCTCAGAGTCAGAATAAACCTCTATCGTTATGTTAGTAATCCTCGGAGCTTGGCTTGAAAAGAATAAAACACAATGCCGAAGAACATTGACGGTACAGCTCTCTTAATAATTAGAATAGGGCTTTGGGGCCCACTCTACCATAGTTAGAATAAGGAACTCCCAGAATAGTATTGGTAATTCTTAACCCAGGCCCCATGACAGTCCCTTCTGAATTCTCTAGGCCCCTATAGTACAGCTCTCTAGCCCGAGCCACATCCTCCCACTCCTCCACAGGCAGGCAAGCCAATTCCTTCCCTGATGTGGCCCACACACGCAGCATAGCGCGGCCGTGTTGCCAAGGTCTAGGGTTTAGGCCCAGGGTTTCGAATAGGGTCTAGGGTAAGTTTCAGGGTTTAGGGTCGCTTCGGCTTTGAACTTAGAGCTTGCGGCTTGGCATTCTTGTCTTGAGATCTTGTAAGATGTGGATGTGTGTGGCTCGTGGGATTTTTAGTTTGTGAGTCAACGGATAAGTAGATGTGTGTAGGTACTAGTCTATATATATATATATATGTATATGTATATAAATGTGTGTGTGTGCGTGCATGTGCATCTGCGACTGTAAACGTGCATACAACCATACACATAGCTGCAATCCATGAGTAACAGGCTTTCTCAGCTTGAGGTGCTATGACATGGGCATCCTTTCAACCCACCCAAAACCGTAAACTTCACATGGGGGTTTCCGAAAATAGGGGACCCTAATACAGTACCCTAAATGCTAGGATTCTGGGATCCGTATTATAAGGACCCCAGCATAAGGTACTCCTAAATTTCGGCAACTCCCCATATGCCCCCAAAGGCCCTAAACCCCCTGAGCTCCATCCACACCCTAAGCCTAAGCCCTAAACTCTATAAGCCCTACCTTTTTAGGGTTCCTCATTATGGTTTCTATATATAGTTCCTTACAAAAGTAGGTCATTTCGGTTACAGGTATGCCTTAAAAAAACCCCAAAACCGGCAACCCCTGAAGCGTTACGGCCCGAAACGCTTCCTCGGTCCGAACTCGGGAAGAAACTCAGCAGCAGCCCTACCCATAGGCTCCACAGTGGTTCCGTTTTGGGGTTCATATTTTGCATCCTATAAGGTAATCCCAAACAGGAGCCACTATGGGGGCCTATGGGTAGATCCTCAGATTCTAGTCATTCTAGTCTTAGAGAATTAGGGTTTCTTCTGTTTCCGACTTCGCAAGGACGAGCTGGCATGGCAAGGTTTAGGGCCAGGGTTTCGAATTCAACATTTAGGCTCTTCAGCAGAAGTTTGGGGCACTTAAAGGTTTCAGGGTTTAGGACTAGAAATCCCGCAAGTCAAAAGACATGGTATCCTGTTTACACTCGGGGTTTAAGGTTTGGGGTGCCCGGAACCTTAAACCCTCAAACCTGAACCTTAAATCCTGAACTTGAGACGAAAATCTGCAGTTGCCTCCTCATGGCAGTTCAGATCTGCAAACAGACGCAGGCCAGACACCTCGGTGGACTTTTGTTTAGGTTTAAGGTTTAACATGGATTAATTAAAGCATCTAGAGGTTATTGGGATTTCAAGCCGCACCTCGGACTCCACCTGACGAGGTCTCATGATTCTTTGAAGGTGGAATTTAGTGCCTAATCGAGGGCAGAAGGAGGTTCATTTATGACCCTAAATTACCCCAAACCCGTTCTTACACCTGGACTTGATGGATGCCAGCTACACCCCTAAATCCCTAAACCCTAAAGCCCTAAATCCCAAAAGCCTACAACCCTTTCACACCTGGACTATGCATTTGCCAGGAACCGAGGAGCCTACAACCCTAAACCCTAAACCCTAAAGCTTTAACCGGCCCGTTCGAACGTGGCTCCTAAATCTTATAAAGCCTAAACCTTAACTCCTATACAGACCTTAAACCCCAAATCCTATACTCTACAAACCTTAAACCCTAAACCCTATACAAACCTTAGGCCCAAAACCCCCGGCTTGAGACTTTTCACCTTGCAAACCGCCACCGGCGCTCCGAGTTTCGGGGCCTCGGCTCGAGTTTGCGTCATAAGGGAGTTTCCGAAAACAGGGGACCCTAATACAGTACCCTAAATAACAGGATTCTTATTACAAGGACCCAAATAAGGTACCCCTAATTTTCGGAAACCCCCATAATGCTTTAGGACATCAAGGGTTTAGGGTCTATAAGGGTTTAAGTTTAGAGTTTAGGGTTTTGGTGGTCTAGGGTTTAGTGTTTAGGGTCTATAAGGGTTTAAGGTGCAGAGTTTAAGAGTTAGTGGTTTAAGCTGTATAAGGGTCTAAGTTTAGGGTTTGGGATTTAGTGGTTTAGGGTCTATAAGAGCTTAAGGTTTGGGGGATCAGAGGCTTGGGCCAATGGGGCTTAAGGTTTAGGGTTTACATCAGTTTATATGCGTCCATTTACTTGAGGGTTCCTTTCGTTGTTAATTCGACTTCCTTCATGGGTGTTTGTGAAAAGCATTGCGACAAGTGCGGGTTTACCACGAGACTGAAAATCGTCATCGCAAAGACTCAAAGACGACCTCGAATTAAGCAGACAAAGACGATATCGCGCTGAAACTAGTTTTTGTAAACGAACACTGGCAACAACAGCGCTCACGTGAGTACTGGCAACGAACCAAAAATGTAACAAGAATGCAAAGAATCGAACTGGGAAATACGTTCATGATTGCGGAAGAGGAGCTTGGAGCAGCGGCTCAGCAGTGCCATTCGGCGAGTTTGTCGGCAGCCTCCCATTCCTCGGCCTCTTTCGCCTTGACTATCCATTGACATGCCAACTCGTCGGAGTTTAAATCGTTCTTGTACAGAAGGGCTAGGTGCCACATAGCAGAAGTGCTACCCCTTGCAACTGCCAACTCGTACAGATCTTCGGCCTTGCGCAAGGCGATGCCTCAATAGTTCTCTTGCAAGGAGGGTGGGTATTGCATGAAGGGGGAGTGCAGGTCAGACCCCTTAGAGGAGCGAGCCATCTCCTGGTACAACACCCCCAAACCGGTGGCAGCTTCAGTGCTGCCTTTTGATATTCCCAACTCATACATGTCTTTGGCTTTGTCCCAATCCTGGTCCACCGCGAGGCCATCGCGGTACAAGTGCCCAAGAAGCTCCGGGGCAAGGTCGTCGCCACTTTTCATGCCAATCTCATACAGCTCTTTGGCTTTGTGGACATCTCGGGCTACACCTTGCCCGTTCTCGTACAAGATACCAAGGCTGGTGGCGGCGCGGGGACATCCCCGTTCCAGGCTCGGCTCAAAAAGCTCCCTCGCCTTCTGAAAGTCACGGGCCACCCCCAAGCCGTGGTAGTACATGTACCCGAGGGAAGCGAGGGCGTCGGCGTTGCCCCTTTCGATGCCCAACTCATACAATTCTTTGGCCCTGTGGAAGTCTCGCGCTACACCTTGCCCAAACTGGTACAAGGTACCAAGGAAAAAGGGGGCGTCATCGTCGCCCTCATTCATGGCCAGCTCAAAAAGCTCTCGTGCTTTCTGAACGTCGCGAGTCACCCCGAGGCCGTGCTGGTACAAGTGCCCAAGGCAAGTTTTGGCGCTAGTGCTGCCCCTTTCGACGCCTGCTGCGAAAATGTCTTTGGCCTTGCGAAGGTCTTGGACTACACCTTGTCCAGTCTCGTACAAAAATCCAAGCCTGGCGAGGGCAAGGTCGTCGCCATTTTTCATGCCAATCTCATACAGCTCTTTGGCTTTGTGGAAATCTTGGGCTACACCTTGCCCGTTCTCGTATAACATTCCAAGGCTGGTCCTGGCATGTTCGTCGCCGTTTTCAATACCCGTCTCATACAATTCTTTGGCCTTGCGCAAATCTTGAATTACACCTTTTCCAGTCTCGTACAAGTATCCAAGCCTGCTGAAGGCACTGACGTCGCCCTTTTTGATGCCAATCTCATACAACTCTTTGGCTTTGTGGAAATTTTGGTCTACACCTTGCCCAATCTCGTACAAGAGTCCAAGGGCGGTGGTGGCGATGGCGTCGCCCCCCTCCATGCCGAGTTCCATGAGTCTCCGTGCCTTCTGAATATCGCGAGCCACCCCCCAGCCCTGGTAGTACATGAACGCGAGGTGGGAGAAGAACGTGGCATGTTCGGGGTCGAGGACACTGGGAGGTTGGCAGGATGCAAGGTTTTCTTCGGTACAGGAACCGTAGTGAAACATGGTGGTCTTCTGAAACTTCTCTGGCACTGGCGACAGCAAGCGTGCTCTCTCGTAAATGACGGAAGTTGCTGCATGCATGTCATGGGGTGTCATCCCGGGGTGCGTGAAGAGGATGCTCACCCGCAGCTTGTCGCGGATGGCTTGGACAGCAGCTTTCAGTTCGCTCCTGTAGAAGACTGTGTCGAAGAGAGTCTTGTAAGACCGTCCTTGCTGCATGTGATAGCCGATGGCGACGCTGACTCGCTGGGACCTCGCAGCCCAGGTGCTGGCGAACTGCCTGGATGCACCAACCCAAAAGGCTTTCACCTGCATGGCCAGCATGCAAAAGAAGGTTGTGCAAACAGACAGCTGAATTCTGAAAGGCAGTGTTTCGGGACATTTGGTTCTCCGCAAGAACCCCATAAACCCAAACCTTCGACATGTACGAAGCGCTTCCTGCCTTCGGAAAGCTGCAAGACTTCAGAGTATTCACGCCGGGAGCATTCAGGAGTTGCCCGAGCCGGGTGTCCGAATTCTCCTCTCGAGCTAACAGCTGTCTGCCAAAGTCCCCTCTAGAGACATAGAAACTACCCACCGCCCCGAGTCCCCAAAACCCTTCAAGCAAGGTACATACACCAAATAGAGGGGTTCTTGCTAGGATCTGGGTACCTTCATTGCAGCATGGGGTGGTGGAGTCTCTCGGCACGCTGTCTGCAGCCCGTCCTGGCTTTGAAGGACACAGCCGCCCTCTTGCCGCAGTGGCCGAAGGACTTCTTCACGCTCTGCGTCTTGATAACCGCTCCAAAGCACGAGGTGCGTCTTCTCCTTACAGCAGGCAAAGACATGAAGACCATGCTTGGCCCCCTCAGAACGGCGCAATGTCGAATCGTTCAAGCATAGACCCTCCATCTACCCTCTATCACATCCCGGGTATCTACAATCTACATATTGGGGCCCATTACAGCCCTAACTTAGGCATCAAGCGGGAGTCCTGGGACCAACCTCTCTTTTTGGGAGTTTCCGAAGATTGGGGACCCTAATATAGTACCCCAAATAGTAGGATTCTTATTATAAGAACCCCCAAATAAGGTACCCCTAATTTTCGGAAACTCCCACATCAACTGGTGGACAAGGCCGGGCCGAGCAGCTGGGCCGCACTTCACCAAGCTCTGGCTCCAGACCTCGTAATATGGGGGCCTTAATACTTAGAATAGGGTTTATGGTTATACTATACTATAAATATATTTAGTATGGAACCCTAAACTAATTAGTATATATGTAATTAATCATGGCTCCAGACCTCGTAGTCCCCATCGCTGACAACGGCCTCTGCCTGCCGAAGAAGCCCCGAAGTACTCGGATTTGATGGTCCAACACAAGGAGGGCTGTTGGTGTAGCAGAGCGTAGTTTATGGGTCTGGCTGCTGGGGTATATGTGCGGCGGCCTCCAATATGTGTAGGTGAGAGTCATCGATATATGGAAGTTTCCGAAAACTAGGGGACCCTAATATATTACCCCAAATATTAGGATCCTTAATAAAAGGATCCCAAATAAGGTACCCCTAATTTTCGGAAACCCCCATATACCCTTGAGTTTGGAACGTCTCCGACCTCTACTTCGCAGCCTCCGTCAGAAACCGTCTCACCATTCCTCTGGTCCTGGGCGGATGTTAAAGTTAAGGCTCTACCTAAAACTCCCCAAAGTAGGTAAAATATGGCCCAAAACCTATAAGGGCTATTATTCTACATACTTTGGCGGCCCAGGTAAAGTTCGTAGGGCCTCAGGGTCTCGTCCTATACTGTGGATCTTATCTTGAGGGGAGCAGGGAAATGCTTCATGAACTTCCCCGGCCGGTCCTCTTCGCAGCTGTCCTGTATCTTCCGCTTTAGCAGAGCAAGCTCTTCTTTGCAACCTGGGAGGACATTTCGTTCTGATTCCTGTTCCATCAAACTTAGCGCCGCTCGAAGCTTCAAGCAGCTCTTGTGAAGAGGTGGCAGAGAGACACGGAGAGAGAGAGAGAGAGAGAGAGAGCGGAAGAGAGAGCGGAAGAGAGAGACAGAGAGTCAGGAAAACGAAGCCCCAACAAAAACAGGGAGAGAGGGCGAGCGACGGAGACACAGCGACGAACAGGGAGTGGAACGGCTTACGAATGCAGTGCCAAGGCACGGGAGGGGTCGGGTTCCATCAAGCTGCCACGGGCGTCCTTCTCGGTGCCTGGGTGCAAATCGGCGATTACAGCCCCTCAAGCAGTATCCGGATCAGAAGCCGGAAGTTTGGCTTCAGGGCTTCGGCGGGCATTTCCAAGAACACTGCCATGCTCGAAACCGGACATATGCTGGCACATCTCCCGAACTATAACGGTGAGAGTGACAGGAGCAGAGGAAACTGGGATTTGGCACGTTTGACCTTCGAGGCACGATGGACTCCGAGAAGCAAGAACGGGCCCGAATCTCTCGTCTTGGCTTTCCCGGTTACTAGGCTAGGTTAGCATCCTCCTGCCGATGGCGAAGTCCTGAGAAGGAAATGCATACCGCCTAGTTTGTTGGCATGCGCTGCAGAAACGGACACGTCAAGGGTGCTGACGCATCGCATGTAGCGGTCATGGATGTACTGTTGTACCGGATCCTGGACAAACCCCAACCGGATCATTAAAGGACCATCAATCCAGCAGGACATATGGTATACCATGTTCTCCGAACCTTTTTCTGACTGTTAACGCCCCGACATTTCATCCCGTCCTGAACTGACGGTGCTTCTCGAGTCCCAGCCACCTCTTCGCAGACCGAGGACGTGGTGGTGGCTCACAATGAGCCACAGCGATGTTAAGAGCACCATGGAGCTCATCGTGCAAGACATATGAAGAGATCACTTTTCGCAAACAGAATGCTCGAGGCTAAACCGCTTCCAAGCAGATCGTGATAGGTTCATCCCTGCATCTCTGCGAAACCGCTGACCGCTAAACGTCGCAATACCTACGTAGGCTTTCGGATTTCTGGAGGTTGTGCAATATACAGTCCTCGGACTAATTACTTTCTGCGCCGAAAATAGAACCTTAAAGCCCTATACTGGTTCTGCACAGGGTACGCCCTCTAAGAAGAACCTCTCTCCAAGCGACTAGGGGCCTCAATAATTCGAATAGGGTTTTTGGGCCCACTATACTATACTTATAATTCGTAAGGAATCCTCCGGCATAGTATAGGTAATCAATAATTAAGGCCCATGTAGTACTTTAAGGCCGGAGCTCCTCCGGCCCCTCCTTGTTGGCCTCTAGGACTGCTTCATGCCAGAAAGTCTCAGCTTAATGCCACCAACGCCCCAAATGCTTGCCTAACCCCCCACCCCCCGCAAAGTAGGTAAGCTAATGGCCCAAAACTTTGAAGGGCTGTTATTCTATACGTACTTTGGGGGTCCAGGTAAGGTCTAAGGAGCCCCGTTTAAGGGATCTTGCGTCCTGCGGTAATCCAGGTTTAGGCTGGGCTTGCTCAACTGGTGTTTCCTTCCAGGCATCTATGACAATCAGAATGTGATGCAGGCCCGGGTAAGTAGGGTTGCGGATTTCTATGAGAGAGTACTTGGTTATCGCATTCTTGAATACAACAACCAAGCAATCTGAACCAGATCTAACAGAGGACTCCTGTTTAGTTGCGCAGCTGTTGCAAATATCTTGCCCGACCAACAAGGGATCCCAACATCGATCCTAATGCCTCCTACTAGTGTAAGCCCCTATACCCTACCCGTTTCGCTACCGGACTCAAATCTAGCCAGTCTACCTAAACCCTACGCTTTTCTTTTGCAACAAGCCTTGTGGTCCAGCACCCTAAACACGACCCTTAACCCTACAAACCCATTTTCTTTTGGACGAGGCCTCTCTGAAGTGCCTTCAACCCTATACCCCCTTTGGACACACTAAAGAGTCCAGGTGCCCCAGTAGCCCCCTTCATAACAAAGGCACCCTTTTTGCTACTGTTTGGATTTAAGAAACGAACCCGAAAGAAAAAGAGGCCTTAAGTAATATCAGGGTACCCTTTTGGCTACGATTTGGCTTTAAGCAAGGAACCCCCAAAAAGAAAACGAGGCAAAAGGGTACTACTGGGGAACCAAGGAGTCAGATCACTCCTATGCTGTATCCCAGATGAGGCTCCAAGATCCGAGCCAGCCATATTCCGTAGACGTCCCCATTAGCGCTACATGGGAGTTTCCGAAAATTAGGGGTACCTTATTTTGGTGTCCTTACAATAAGGATCCCATTATTTAGGGTATTATATGAGGGTCCCCTATTTTCGGAAACTCCCATATGATGACTACGGAACCTTTATCAGAGAAGCCTTATAGATTTCCTACGGTACGCGTTGAGGAACGCTATTCTTATACTGCAAACCCCTGTATTACCGCCAAAACCAAAAGCCCAGGGTCGGTGGGTTGATGCCACAGTTCAGCTGAGTGCGGCGCCTGCCAGCCGTTACGGTTGGGCCTGCAATCATGGGGAGGGTTTAAGGCTTAGGGTGGAAGCTTCATGCAGGGTTTTCGGCTTAGGTTAGGGATTTGGGTCATTTTTGGGGGGTCGTCCAAACAGTAGTGGTTAGGGGGTCGTTTAGTCAGTAAACACCGGTCCCACTTGGAAAACAATGCCACCCCCCCTTCGCACCCTGACCGCAAAGCCAAAAGGGCCTCATGTACAGCCACCCCAAAACCCAATAGGCCGACTCATAAAATGAGGACCTGCATAAAACAAACTCACACCAAAGCCCGTAGACTGGCTTCCTACAAAGAAAAACAGTGTATCCAACCCTGCCTGTAGAGTAAGGATCCTGCTATGTGTGATTTTCGGGTTTTAGTTTAGGGGTCTCTGCCTTCTGACATTCCCAGAGGTGGGAAGCTGAAAACCATTCTCCAAGTTCTAAACCTTCAGCTAAAAGTTTAAATCCTTACAGACACTTCCATCTGCATGGTCCTCGGATACGTGGCTGAACCCTGACACATGCCCATAGCCTCCCGTCACCCTGAAAACTGAAACCACTAAACCCGCTGAGGACTCTGCCCTTTCGCCAGCAGCCGCCAAGCGATTCGTCCGGCGAAGGAGACTCCGTTTGGGGCGATCTGCCTCTAGGGCTTTACCTAGAGTCTCCAGTGTAGTTCCGTTTTCTGGTTAACCAGTTTTATGGTTAGGATCCCATAATAGAGATTTTGGTCAACCAAAAAAGGGAACTACAATGGATAGTATAGGTAGGGCGCGGGTTCAGAGCGCGGGGTTTAAGGTGAAAGGTTTCGGCGCTTAGTCTCGGAAATGCTCGGCGAAGTTCTTGGTGCATAGTCGGTTCAGGATTATATAAGGGCTTAGGATGGATTTGGCCTGGGTTTATTGCTCATCGAAGCAGACAATCAATTCCCTGACGTGAAGCATTGGTGAATTAAAGAAAATAGGAGACCAATGCATAACTACCAGCACCCTTACTACAAGGGCCCTAAAATGCAAACAGGTGCGCCCCGTTTTTAATTTTTCGAAACCCCTACTGAATGATGGGCTTCAGCATAACCAGGGCTCCCCACACCGGGTACGGCGTGGAGTAGGCCTGACCTGGCCAAAGATATACATTCCAAGCATGTGCGTACATATATAGAGGTACATGTATACAGATGTTTATGTATATACGCAAGCACATAACTATATATATATATGTATATCCAGACACATACATACACTACACTACATACGTTGCATTGCGCTACGCTACATGTTTTACATATGTATGTAGGCATATATGCATGTGCATTTCTCTTCGGACCCTTCTTGCTAGGGCTTAAGGTTCAGGGTTTGGGATCTAAGGTTGCCAAGCTCTGTGACTCCCGAGATCATTCAAACATGAAAGAAATGGGTTGGGACTGCCCCCGTACAGTAACACTTGGGCTACTATTCAGGGCCTAATATATCTATATAATATCAAGATTATCCAACTGTTACTGAGAGGGGGCAGCACCCAAGATATGGGATGTTTTAGAGAAAATTTGATGCGGGGTAGTGCTCATCGTCGCTGCCGTCTTCCCCACGTGGCTTCCATGAGTCTTCCATCTGTAGAGATCTCTGTAAGAATATGCACCGCAAAACCCCCGCTGTGACATTCGATCCATGACGGAATGCCTTAACTAATAAGCTGTATCACGAGCATCCAGACGTACGGTTTGGAGGAAGCATGGATGGGACTGGATAGATTAGGTGGCGTGTGCTGTGCAATCGGAAAGTTTTCGGTGTAGGTTGGCGCTGATAGGAGAGACCTTCCGAGTCATTTCATGTTGCCGATGCAGAACCCTAAACTCCTAAACATGTGACCGTGGAGGGAAACATTGAGCTATAAGCAACAAGTCTTTAAGCTTTCGAGCATACCTGGATTACGCCTCTTCCGAGCTACGCCTAGTTGAAGGGCCAGGCACTCCCCTGTTGGAGGACTCTCACACTAGAATCCACTCTGTCATCCCTGTTCAACCCGTAAATCCACAACCTCCATTTAAACGGGGTGCTTAATTATTCATGTGCGTAGTTGTCAATATTAGGGTCCCTTTTTGGGTCCCTAATACGGCACCTATTGATTAGGTTACCAAAAAAGGGTCCCTCATTTTGACAACCACCCATGTGTCTATACAGGTTTCAGCTCAGAGGGTAAAAGCCTGAAGGTCGGTTTAGGGTTTAGGGTTTAGGGTTTAGAGGGTGGAGGGGTTTTGGGGATCGAGGGCTTAGGCTATACCTTAACCCCGAAGAACCTACCTTCTTAAGGGCTTATATAAGGAAATCATAAAAAGGAGCCCAAAAAGGTAGATCATTCAGGGTTCAAGTATAAGTAGACCTTTTTAAGGACTTATAATTATAAGGCAATCATAATAAGGAGCCCTAAAAAGGTAGGTCATTCAGGGTTGAGGCTATAGGGATCAAGGCATCGGGGCAGAACAATGACGCCCCGAAAGAGCCCTCTAAACGCGCTTGCAACTTGCAACTCTTTGGAAACCAGGTACCCCACAAAACCGCATAACAGCCCCTGCGAATACAACCCTTGAGCCTTGCAAACAGACTATAAACCCCTTGTTCGACTCAAGAAAGTCGACAGCCCTGACGACCCCCGCACGCCCTTTTCAGCTAGCAGCTGTCTGGCACAGACACGTTTTAGGGATTTTAGGGTGAAGGTATTTCTGGGGTTTCTATACTGGTGTAACGCTAGAGTGGCGCATTTTTGCGTTTCTGCTGATACAGGGCTATATAATGGTTTAACAAGAGTTCTACAAGACTTCTACAGGTGGGTTTGCACATTTAGAGCTCCTCTTCGTAACGGGCTTCCCTCGCATGGATTTGAGCATCAAGCCTCAAAGGTTTAGTGCCCAGGGATTTAGCTGGGATGCTGCGGTTATACCGCTCAGGTCATATTGTGTCTAAAGTTCCTCGGCGAAGTCGTGGGGTTGTGTTGCTTTGTTTGCTCGGGTTTTAGAGTTTTAGGGTCTGTTTAGAGCAGTAGGGTTTAGGGGTTTCAGTCTGGTGGCTTTAAGGAGTTGAGGTTGTCTTTCCTCGCGTCAGCTAGTTGAAGACATCGCCATCCACCTGGTCGCGGCCTCTGCAGCAGCTGGGAGGCACAGCGAAAACCCCAAACTGTGGGCTAAACTTTACGGGTCAACCCTTACTCGAAAGCTTCAGCCGGACGGTAAACTCTAAACCCAAATCCTTCAACCCGAAGCCCTAAACCATATAAGCCTGAAGCTGAATGGAAACCCTAAACCTACAATGGGAGTTTGCGAAAATAGGGGACCCTAAAGAAAGCATCCAAAACAGTAGGATCCTTGTTATAAGGACCCCAAAATAGGCTACCCCGAACTTCTCGGAAACTCCCCTCGAAGCCCAAATGCCGAAACCCTGCAGAAAAAAAAAACAAAAAATATACAGGTACTCCGAGTCTTCACCCTCCTCGTCATGATAGGTTCATATGACTTGGGTATTGCCCCCATACACTAACAGTCTATAATGGGGCTACTATTAAGGGCCTAATACATCTACATTATGAACCTTAGCCAAATGTTACTCGTATAACGTACATGTATCTCTACCCATAGACCCCATAGTAGTTCCTCTTCGGGATTACCTTATAGGAGTCTACATATGAATCCCCCCAAAGAACTACTATGGGGCCTATGGGTATCTGCATCTATAGCTATCGCTGTATCTCTATATATATATTTATATGTTTACATATTCATGCAAGGCTTTGCGTGCGTTTAAGTTTTATGGTTTTGGGGGCTTATGAAGATGTTACATGACACTCTTGGGCGTTGTGAGGTTTTAGGATTTCATCATCGGGCCCTCATGAATCGAATGGGCTGGTCGAGCGTAGCAGCCTAGCATTCAAAGACAATAGCTATGACTACAAGGGTAAAGATGGGAGTTTCCGAAAAATAAGGGGGCCCTAATATAGTACCCTTATTATCAGGACCCCAAAATACGGTAGCGCTAATTTTCGGAACTCCCACATTTCTATGCATTCAGACACCTATGGTAAGGTGCCCTGCATGCATGCAAAATACGCTCTCCCGGCTCGAATCGGATCTGGGGTCGACATGTAAGGGGGGTCAGGGTAATGGAGCCCGTGAAACCTGCATGCAATGCAGGAGCCTTAATGATTAGAGAAATATTGGGGGCTCCTTTTTACAAGCATAGTATAAAATACACCCGAACCCTAGTCTAATTGTTAAGGCCCCTCTACCAAGGAGCATTGAGGGGCCTTTTCTGCCCTGCGGAACTTGCACCTCAAAGGTCCTTTTTCAGCAAGCCCGTCCACCTAAACCCTAAACTCTAAATACCCTAAACCCTTTTTGCCACTGGACCCAAGTCCTAAACCCTAACCCAAGACCCTGAACCCAAAACCCTAAACCGGGGACATCTCCTAAATTCCTGAACCACCAAACCCGTTCTCTAGCTCTGAAAGACTCCCAAGCCCCGACCTAAACCCAAAACACTCGGAACAAAGACAAATCCTGTTAGGACCCAAGCGACTTCGTAGGAAGAAGCGACCGAAAGGCGGCGAAGAGGGATCGCTGTTGTCCTGTTCCGGCGCTCACACGGTTCAGGGCTTGTGGGCAATGTAGGGGTCTGGATCGTTCCGAGCCAATACTGTATCCCCTTACTACAGTTCCTACTACGATTAGAGTAATTTTACTCCAAAACCAAATTCTGCTTAGAGTTTCGGATTAGGTTAAGGGCTGTAGCATGCTTTAGCTTTAACGATGCTAAGGTTTTGCCATCCCGCTGTCTTCATCGACGACTTCGCCGTGCCCACAGCTCGCCCAGATCGGGGACGCACTGCGAACCTGAGCCAGGCGGGACTTGTGAATGAGGGCCCAACACCAGTCCTGAAAAATGTGTAATTAAACCCTAAACCAACGAAGTCAGCGCTAGTTGCAGTCAGAACAAAAACCCCCAACCCAAAACCTGACGTCACCCATAATCTTCCTAACTATTCCGTCCCCTTTGTTAGGGTTAGGATGTTAAGTCTATAAAACGTAAACAAAGGCAGAAGTTCTCGCGAAGGGCTGCGAGGTCCACCGGGCTGGGTTTCCCAGTGCTGGAGGCCATCCGAGCTTCTTTGAGATCGGAGATCCAGGTGCCCACCTTCTTATAGCTGTTTCGGCGCACACTTTGCTCAGAATCACACTGCTCTTCGTCGTACACTTTCTCTGTTTAGGGTGTTGGGGCATAGCTTTGCTTGTGCATTTCGTTTCGTTTGTTGTTTGCTCTGGGTGACTCTGGGTTTCTGTGTTTCCCCTAGGTGCCTGCGGGCATGTGTGTGTGTGACCGTTCAAGCCTGAAGCGTTCCGTGGTGTGCAGACGCCTTCTGCTCGCACCTGCATTGGCCATCCCGACATACCCCAAAGCGAGCGTTTATTTTTTTGATATCAGTGAACATGCGTGCTCTCTTGCATGCATATTTTCATGTAGTATGCTCATGTAAGTATGAATATACGTGACCCCTCTGTTCGAAGCGTACTTGGGCATACATGTGGTCTCTCATATTCACTGCATAGGTGTGATCCCCCGATCCAAAAACCCAAACATCCTGACCCTACATAAACTCTTATCCCGCACCCCGAGGCACTGGACAAGCACGCAACTCCCCGCTTCACCAGTCGACATCTTACATAGTCGCTTCATAAGCTTATGTAGCCCCGACAAGATGCAGTTAAGATACTCATTTCTGCAACATTGAGAATAGTAACAAATAGACAATCTGGCAAGGGCAGGAGTATTATTAACCAATGAGGACAATACTGGGCTCAGGACCCAGGCTCGCAAGAATTCACATCATCAGCCTCATCACCATCATCATCATCATCATCATCATCATCATCATCATCATCATCGCCATCGTCATCATCATCGTCATCACACTCGTCATGCACAGCATCGTCACGATGAATATGAACATCATTGACGATCACCATCATAGAAATATGTTATGGGTGGACTTGGCAAAGGTGCCTCCACTTCTGTGGCAGGGTCTGCAAATGCAAGATCCTCGTCGAGTCTATACCCTGATATCGGACCCGGAGAATTAGAATAGGATTTCTGGGAACATTATCTCTAATCGTTTACATGCATGACGGAACCGAAAGGAATAGTATCACTAATCACAACTCATCGTTCAGACCCCCTACGTTCGTGGCTCGGTTTCAGATCGGACAAGGCTACAAGAGCATAAAGCCTTTACAGTTTAGGGTTGAGGCTGAGTTCCCTGGACCTCATTTCGGCTTTTCCCGCTGGCAGGATTGTATTAACCTCCGAAGTTAGACTAAGTGAACACTGAGTAAGGTAGCAGCTGGAAATGGGCACAATCCGTCACCCTTACGTCATGTCATCCACAGAGAATACACACTAATCATCAATAGCCCATGTTCCAGCTTTCTAGGCTCGAGTTTGCTGTAGGAAAGCATTCCCTTTAAGGCCGAAGAAGCCATTGCAGTGTTTGAATACTTTGGCTCTCGAGACACATTTTTATAGGAGTCATTTAAGGAAGGAGCACAAGGACTATACAGGTACATTTGCCCGTGCGGTTTATGAAGTGCGGATTGAGGCGCCCCGGAGCGCATCAGCGGTTTCGGCGGATCCGCAGCCGCCTGTGTTGGGATGTCAGAAGTCCACCATCCGACCATCCTTGGTTTGGGCGACGGGACAACTTACAGGGCTTTATGCCTTAGGCACCTAGGCTTTGCGACTCTTGAATATGGGGCTTTGGCTTTCAGGGTGTAGGGGTTTCCGTTTACAGTCGGCCCTAAGGGCCCGATCTGCAATTGCTTGAGGTGAACCCTCTGCCAACCCCTATACCCTTAACCGTAATGATAAACCTTAAACCCTAAACAGCCTTAATTAAAGGAGCCCTTGCAGAATTTTTTGCGTAAAGGAACCGTAAAATGTCTAAATGCAACCCTTCAAGGAAACTTCCAAAGGAATCAAACTTGAAACGCTAAACTGAGCAACGGAACTCTCAAAAGAACCCTAAGCCCCGCTAAGGAATAAGTAAAGGAACCCGAATCTTTCCTAACCCCCTCAAAGGAACCCTTAAAGCCTTCAAAGCTGAACCTCTCAGAGGAGTCCTTCTTGGGAACCCTGAGCCCTCAAACCCTAAAGAAAGCCCCCAAAGGAACCCTAAGCCCTAAACCCAAACCTTGACCATAAATCCTTGAACGAACCCTGAACCCTTCCAAAAGAACCCTAAACCCTTCTTCCGGAAGCCTTTAAAGGAACTCAAAACCCTAAACCCTTCCCAAGGAACCCTAAACCCTCCCCAAACCCTGAAGAAAGGGCCGGGCATCAATCCCCAAATCTCTTAAAGGAACCCTAGACCCTAAACCCTTCTGAAGGAACCCTCAAAAAAGGGCCGGGCATCAAGTTTAGCCGCCTCCCCGAAGCTCCCGGAGCTTCGAGCCAGGGCTTTCCCGGCAGCGCGCCGTGCAGGTAGCCGCCCTTGAAGAAGAGGGCTCCTAGGGCGGGGGTTTAAGGTTTAAGGGCTTTTTGGGGGGTTTAGGGCTTAAGGGCTTTGGCGGTTCAGGGCGCTAGGGTTTTTTAGGGCTTTGGGGGTTTGGAGAGTGTTATAGGGTTTCTACGGGTCTACGATGCTTGGGCTCTAGAGTTTAGGGGTTCAAGGTTTCTAGGGTTCTGTAGAGTTCTACAGGATTTGAGAAGTTGTTGAGGGTTTAGGGTTTCTACGGTTGTGGGATGCTTGGGCTGTAGCGTTCAATGATTCCTAGGGCTGCATCAGGTCAGATAATGGCGTTAGGGTTTGGCCTTTGGATTGGGGGTATAGGATTTAGGGTGCGCGAGGCTTGATTCTCTGTTTCAAGGTTCTCGGGTTTCTGGTTTCAGGGTTTAGGTGGTGGTGACTTTGAGAAGGCCTCCTAGGCTTTCATAGGCTCTGAGGGATTATAACCTCTTCCTGTAATTTTCCGAAAAGGAATAAACCTTTAGTGACGGGTTTCGGGGCTTTTCGTTGGCTTCAAGTGTGTCTGGTGTCCTAGTATAGGATTTGCCCGGGATTGACGCTGTCGGTTTACGCTGAGGGTCTTCAGCAGGTTCTCCTTGTACACTGTGCGGTGGCAGTATGTCACGTGGGTTATATCCATTCTGTTGCTGGAAATGCTGGCCGGCACTTCGGGATTTCGACTCGCACACTCGCACAATCGCAGCGAAGGATTTAAGGTGCAGTGTAGGACTCTGGTGCGCGTGGTTTAGAATTTGGCCGGCGGCAAGCCAGCTTGCCAACTGGTTCCAGTCGTTTGAGTTTCAACTCCTGAAACCCAAAATCTAAACCTGTTTGCAGGAGGAGCTGAGAAACTGAAATTTCCATCGATCGATCTATCTAACTGTTTGTGTGTATACAAACAGATGTGCATATTATATATATATATATATATATATATATATATATATATATATGCATGCATACATACAGTTGTATAGACATATGTATACATACATACATACATACATACATACATACATACATACATACATACATACATACATACATATAAATATAAATATATATATATATATATATATGAACGTATGTCTTCCGAAACCTCAAAAGCTCAATTATGCCAAATCTCGCCCCAATCGAGGCCGAACCAGCGCCGCCTGGCCTTCAAAATCGGCCTTGGCCTCTGTCTCGGGTTTGCATATTTGGCACACACGCAAAGGCATCTATACGTATACATATACGTATACCTATAAATATGTTCATATATTTGTGGGTTCGGGAAAGAGTTCCCATAGATTGAACCCCAAGGCCTGAATCGAAACCCCCGCAACAAGTAGGTGGTGGTACTTTGCAGTAGGGCTTGGGAGACCGGGCGTAGTTGAAGGGCTATCAGTTTCAGCTGTCGAAGCAGCCCTGGCTCACGGTTACCTTTAACTCGGTGTGCACATATCCCGAATCCTGATGGGATGTATAAGCAATCAGAACCATAAGCGAAGTGACACTACATGTGACATTACTCGTGCGTACTGCTAGTCTTTCATAGGCTTCGGGCAACTGTGATTCTGCATACCTGTTCCTGCCCGCCAAGAGTACCGCCAAGTGACGACATCACCATACTCTTGGCTTGTGACCACCGTAGGGCCAAAGCGCGGAGAATCATCGCACAGGTACCTCACTGGACGAAAACCCCAGCCCCAAATAAACATCCCCCAGTCCCGCTTTCTTGATCTGGGCCATTCTGGGCCGTGTGCATGGTCTCCAGTCACACCCTGAGCCCTTAAACCTAATCCCCCAAATCGAATGGAACCCGAAACACTACATACCAACCCGGCATTCAAGAATCCCAGGGCCAAGGTGCACCACGCTGCTTATGGCCGGATGCTCCACATGGCTGCCGCCGGAGTCTCGCAGAAGTTGCTCATTGGTGTCGTAGTGGAGTGGATGTCCTGGAGGATTCCGTACCGCTGAAATTGTAATTACTGGAATAGTTTGCATATCCACTTCTACTTATATTTGTGCTGATACAGATAACTTGCTGTAGCTTAAACTTGACAGCTTTCTGCCCTTTCTCCTCAGGTCTTGTCCGAGTCCTGTCTGGAGGCTTGGGAAATCAAGTTCAACTATTGCAAGCCAGTAATAATAATCTTCGTCGGAACGAAGTGGTGGAGTACATTCAACCCCCTTGACTCATTTGGGGCTTGCCTTGGCGCTGTAACCACTGCAAACTGTTGGCATGCACTGAAAAAACAAAACAATGAACCCTTAGACGCCCCCAACTACAATCCTGCGCAACCCGGAAGTCCCAAAGCTGCAATCCGATCCCGAAGCCCCGAATGGAAACAATTCACCAAATTTAGCAGCGAAATAGCATCAAGTCCGGAACTACGCCTTGCGTCTCCACAGCGAAACTGTACTCCCCACGCGAACGATCAGCGCGCGGTCCGTGCCACTGCTCCGGCAGGCGCTGGTGCACCCACCACTCTGCAACCTTCCTCGGCTTCGGGTTTGGGGCCTATAGCATTTATAGGACCAGGAGTAACAAAAGCCCTTAATTATCCGAATCATTCTAGAATGAAGCACGTATAGCACGCAGCAAAACCCTGACACATACAATAAATACTGTTTTACGCTGGTCGCTCTCATATCGGCAGCACATGCGTCGGCAGATTGAATCCCAAGGGATGCGGTTCAGGGACTACAGTTGGATTCATGCAGCCGCTAAGCCATACTATAGGGGCCTAAATAATTGCCAAGTTTGGGGGTTCGGCATTGGTATAACTATAGTTTAGTGGGCCCAAAACCCTATTCCAATTTTTAAGGAAACTCCCTTTTGAAAGCCCCAGTCCTGGGCGCGCGGCTGGGCTGTTTGTCTGAGGTGTCAGGCTCAGGGCGCGTGACCGCGCCATATTTGGGAGTTTCCGAAAATTAAGGTACCCAGTTTGGGTTTAGGGTCCTCCTTTTTCGGAAACTCCCATTCAGCCTACAGCTCCGGGCTGTTAATAAGTAAAGAATTGCTTGAAGGCCCATTGCTTACCAACGAATTGTACGGACTCTTGAATGAGGCGCCGGCATTGTTAAGAGCCCGCCCCATATCGGCAGAACACGGATGGACTGGATGGATAGATAGATGAGATGTGTGCATCCGAAAAGCCTGTCCTAGTTCTCAACGCCCCTAACTGAAGCTGAGCCTCACCGAACTAGCGACGTCGGCAGCGACCTGCGCGAGGAGCGGCCTGGCTGGGCATGCTTTCGGCTAAGGACTTGCGGTTTGTGGCTGAAAGGGTGCGTGTATATTTAGAAAGAGAGAGAGAGAGAGAGAGAGAGAGAGAGAGAGAGAGAGAGAGAGAGAGAGAGAGAGTTTAGGGCTTACGCTCTCGTAACTCGGACACAGCCAGACGAGGTCTCTCGACTCGCGTTCGCACTACGATGTGTTCTCAGGTCATAGACAAAAAACAGCACACGGATCCAGAATAAGCACCCAATAGCAAATCTCCCACACCCTAGAACTGGGCGTTAGGGTTCAGGGTTTGAGTTTGAAGGTTCAGGGTCTGGACTCTCGAAAGTCGGACACTGCAGGTGAGACTGTTCGATTTCCAGGGCTTAGGGTTCGGGCTGTTTTTGGTCTAAGGTCTTGGCTAGGGACTTCTGTGCTATAAATACATGCATACGTGTAACCCCTGGTGATGCAAGCATCCAAGACACTGATTGAACTCTCTGTCAACAGTCCTGAGGCCTCCGAGTGGGTGTGTGTGTGTGTATACTAAGCCCCAAGATATACCACAGTATACAGCAGGATCCTTCGCACCAGCACCGAGAAACAAAACCCTTGTTTCAACAAGGCTCTTCAAACTTCACATTACAGCGCCCGACCAAACCGAGATTTAAGAACGCCCCATATCCACGCAATCAACTTCTGTCTTTAAACACCCTGTCTCCGTGGCCTCATCGCTTCAATAAGCTGGTCGATGATGTGAGTCTCCTGTTTAGGGTTTAGGGGTTTAGTGTTTAGGGCTGAGAGATTACGTGTGGTTTAGGATTTAGGGGAGGCACCGGAAGGGTCATAAGAAGGGTCTTAAAGGGCTTCCTAAAGGTCTTGTAGGGCCGTCTATAACGCATTTGGTGTTTCTCAGAGATGGTTTGGGATACCTGCTTCTGATCAGGATCTTGCGGACAAGTGTCCATATCAGGGCCCCACAACCACATTCCTAAACTGCCGCAAGACCGGGAGGCCACTGAATCAAAGTGCCTCACCCACACAAGCGAAAGACTCTGAGAAGCTTCGCTTTGCCGACAAGCCCGGGAGTAGTATGGGCGGCTTGATAGTTAGAGTAGGGCTCTGGGGTATGTTTTACTATTGCGATGACATCAACCCTCGCAGCTTCATGCTGGGGGCGAGGGGGAGGCTCTGGACTGGATGATGAAGTCTGATAGGGCTGAGATGGTTGAGGCTTCACGGGTCTACTTAGAGGTTCGAGGGATATAAGTATAGTTACCCTTCTTACAACCCTACTGCAAACTACCCATGAACCTCCAAGTAGGTCGCAAGTTAAAGTAAAACCAAAGCCAGGTTGGCCTGCTCAAGGGGGGGCCTCACGAGGATGAAGGTAGGTGGGATATTCCCAAATAAGAGTCCTTATATAAGGGATCCTTAATCCCACCTACCTTCATCCCACCTGGTGAGGACTCCGAAACCCTAAACCCTAAACAGTCCGATCAAGGGGGGGCATACCAAAAAAGGCGTACAGCCTCCTAGAAGAACTGCCTGCAAACGAGGCGCATCTCCCGGAAGGTGGGCATGCGAGTAGAAGGTCACATCTTCGCCTAATTGAGACGGGTTTTAGAAGTTAAGGGTTTAGGGTTTAAGGGTTTAGGGTTTTAGGGGTTTGAGGTTCAGGGGTTTAGGGTTATATAAGGGTTTAGGGTTTAGGGCTTAGGGGACTCTCGCATGGCTGCTTCGACTCACACACTCGCTCACATGCAGGCATGGCTTCAGGTCCGCATAGCTGTTTAGGGTTCTGGGTTGAGGCACATAATGTAAGCAGTAAGTAGTGAGCAAGAAACCCTGCGACTCACCCATGCTTAAGGACGTGAAGCACCAAGACAGATATAACTAGAACAACTGAAGAGAAGACAAGCCCACATATACAAGTTCCTTGTCATGAAAGCAGTCTGCGGTGCAAGAGTAAGGGTCTGCGATACCACATAAGCAGGTTCATAGCCACACAGACACCGAGACACGCTCACACTCGCTTCTCTTCCTCAGGCTTAGAGAGAGCCCTCACACTCAAGCCCTCACTCACTCACTCTCTCTCTCTCGCTCTCTCTCTCTCTCTCTCTGTCTCTCTCTCTCTCTCTCTCGCTCGCTCTCTCTCGCTCTCGCTCGCTCGCTCGCTCGCTCTCTCTCTCTCTCTCTCTCTCTCTCTCTCTCTCTCTCTCTCTCTCTCTCTCTCTCTCTCTCTCTCTCTCTCTCTCTCTGTCTCTCTCTCAAGCTCTCTGAAACAAATCAGTACTCTATCTATCCAGCTGGCTAACTACATACTACTTACCTCTCGGCGCTCATTCTCGAATCTCGGCTAGCCTCGTCTAACCTGAAGCATCTATCAGTCTAATCATGTCTGATCCGTCAACGTCGCTGACCGTGAACTTTTGCATGCGTGTTTGTGTGCATGCACGCCACATATACATAGACATCATGATGCACATATGTACACATACATGTAACATGTGTGTTTGTGTGTGCCCGGGTAGAGAGAGAGAGAGAGAGAGAGAGAGAGAGAGAGAGAGAGAGAGAGAGAGAGAGAGAGAGAGAGAGAGAGAGAGAGTGAGAGAGAGAACGAAGACAGCAAAAACAGTACAAGGACTCAGTCTTGCTAAGCTCGCACATGCAGACATATGTATCTAAACGAGATCGCAACGAAATTCACTCTGAGTCTTCGGGGGTCTTTTAGAAGGAGCTCCAGCATCCCAATAGCCGGGTGCGCGTTCCACGTTTGCTGCACCCAAAACATGCGACTACCCAAAAACCCCAAAGTAGTTCCTTTTGGGGGTTCATATATAGAACCCTATAAGGTAATCCCAAAAAGGAACTACTTTGGGGCCTATGGGTATCCCCCACAATGAGCTGCTGGCCTTTGGAGGAGATGCCAGCTTCTGAGGCAGTTTTGCATTCGGTACACGGTTTAGTAGGGCTTTCGTTTGTTGCTTTGATTTGCAACTTAAGCCCAAACCCAGAAGATGTACAAGGTTGAGGCGCTGTAAAGGGCTACAAAACTCCCTCTCGCGTCCATTCAAACACCCATCATGTAAGGAAAAAGTCCAGCCGCTGTGGTACCGGTGGTCTTCCCAATAGCTCGCTCCAGGATGAAGGGCGTCTCGCGCCCTCCTGATGTTCTAGCTGCATAGGCATAGGCGCGATCACAGTGCATCAGTGCAATGTTGTGTGCTGCTTGGCGCAAAAGCCTACCTAAAATGAATACCTGGCAAACATAGTCAAGCTTGCAATAATTGCAATATTGCCTTATGCAGGGTTTCGGTACGTCAAGAATTCACGGAGGTTCTGGGCTTCGGGACCAGGTTCGGGTTGCCTCCAAAAAGTCGACTTCTCGGCGGGAGCGATTCAGGCAACTTTTGGCCGTCAGATGTCGTTCAAGGCAAACCGATTCCGAGCACAAAAGTGAATCTTGCCTTAAGAACTGCACCTATCACAGCCGGGACACGTCGCAACTCAAATGCATGGGAACATGCTGGGCGTAGCTAGCTACTCTATCTCGGCAACATGGTCGGGTCATCAGAGTTGTCACATGCTGCTGGTACAGATACCTTTGCTCTGGCACGACTGCCAAAGACTAAATAAAGCCTAGATAGTCGATCGTCAGACTCCTAATTTGGGAACCCGACTACCAGAAAGCCATTGTAGTGGCTGACATGAGTCACCCTTCACGGGGCCCATAAAATAACCCCTGCCTTAACCCCAAGTAACCTACCGGTTGAAACACATATATATATATATATATATATATAAAGAAATCATACTAGGGAACGCTGAAAAGGTAGGTTCCTTAGGGTCCAGGTATGTGGACCCCAACATCATCCCTTGGTTTGACGTTATTGCCCAGCAGACAGCAGCTGAACTCCACTTAGCACCCCACATTGTCCAGAAGAATCACGAAGAAAATTCCTGAGCCTGATTTTGACCGTAGGTAAAGTTTAAACCCTACACCCTAGAACACTGAGCTCGAAAAAATCCTATAACCCCCACACCCCGAAGGCCGCAAACCCCAAAACCCTGAACCCCTGATGTCCTTTTCACACCCTCTGTTATACATATGTCCTTTAATTACAACTGGGCTCTCACGAATGCCCTAAATGCCTTAAACCCTAAACACTATACCCCAAACGCTAAACCCTGATCCCCTATAGATCCTAAACCCCCGAAGCCGGAAGCCTCACCACTTCGGTGGGAAGACCATCGTCGAAAACGCGCAGCGTGAAGGCCTTTTCCGGTGCCTCGCGGCAGCTCTCCGTCCTTCCACACCCGGTATGCGGCTTCCGGTGTAGTGTCCGGGATTTCAGGTTCAGGGTGTAGGGTTCAGGGCTACAGGTGTAAGTTACATAGAGCTTGCCGTTGGGGTTTAGGGTTTTGGCTGTAAGCTTGTAGGATTTTGTGGTTGAGGGGCGAGTGTTTCGGGCTATGTTGGGTGAGCTAGTGCATTACAAAGCCTTCTGAACATCTTGCGATCACCTGGGGCAGTGTGCAAACTTCTCACAGTCACAATTCCCTGACTTCTTGGAGACTTTCCCCGAAACCCTGAACACCAAACCTTTCAGAAAAGCCCCCACATGCTCGAACCTGAAGGAAACACCTAAACCCTAAGCCCTTAACCCTCTCTCTCTCTCTCTCTCTCTCTCTCTCTCTCTCTCTCTCTCTCTCTCTCAGGCATTCGAAACAAGCCCTAAACCCTAAACCCCTAAACCCAAACCCGGAATGTCCAAAGTTCGTCTGCCAATCGCGCTCGGAGGCCAAGGCGGCTGAGGTGATCGTCGGCCTCCTCTAACTTGGGGGCTTCTTCGGTTTACAGCAGTTTAGGGTTTAGGGTTTAGGGTTTGTACAGCACCTCGGGGTTGGGGGTTAGGGTGTCGGGTTGGGTGTAGGGTTTAGGGTTGTAGGGTGGCTGTTTGGGGCTTCGGCAGCTGACTTCTGGATTTCCGGCCTTGAAACGGCTTGGAACTTGGGGTTTTGGTATTTCAAGCTTAGAGTTAAGGGTCTGGGTTTGGGGTTTGGAGGGTGCCGTTTGCCTTAAGCTCAGATGTGAAGCCGGTGATGAGCTTGGGACTGCACTGAAGCTCAGGGTGGAGACACTGTTTGACAGCCTGTTGGCACCAGGAGCTTACTGGGTGCACCAAGAATTATAAGTAGGGGTAAACATATAAGTTTACACAAAAGGGGAGCCAATTCAGCCGAAGCCGGATGTGGTTGCCTTCGACTGGCACCCTCGCTCGACGCAGGCATGGTTTCATGGGGTCTGACGATAGAGCTTTGGGTTACGGTTAGGGCTTCTGGAACTCTCGCCTGGCTAGGACGATGCGGCACCTGATCTAGAGCCGAAAGAACGGCCCAGGGCCTCGGTCTCAAACAAGATAGGTCAAGATCACATGAAGTTCCAAAGCTTGACAGCTTGAAGCTGCATCCAAGCTGGTGAAAAGGACTCTTCTTCCGCACCGCAAGCCGGGGTGAGAACAGACGGCACGTGTGGTCCACGACCCACGGTACCTCTGCTATTGGTGGCGTCGGCTCGTCACGAAACCGTCAGAATCCCAGAAAATCAGGCACCTAGGGGGGAGAGGCCCAAAAACTTATCAACTCGAGATCCAGATAAGGATGCATGATTCAGGATGTAGTACGATCCTTATTAGGACTCCAATGTAAGGCAACTTTAGATGCCCCTGATTCTAGCAACCCTGTAGCTTTCTTTGGCTGCTGATTGAGCATGTGGCACTGTATGATTGAGGGTTTGCAACTGGCCTCGAAACGACCCAGTTGGCATCGCCTCAGACAAAGCAAGCCGACGCTACAGAAGCAGCTATCGGCAACACAAGTGACCCAGCGCCTACACTCCCACACAAAACTTCGCAGGACTATGTCTACCTCTCTCCACCTCTGCCTCTCTCTCTCGCTCTCTCTCTATCTCTCTCTCTCTCTCTCTCCCTCCCTCTCTCTCTCTCTCTCTCTCTCTCTCTCTCTCTCTCTCTCTCTCTCTCTCTCTCTCTCTCTCTCTCTCTCTCTCTCTCTCTCTCTCTCTCTCTCTCTCTCTCTCTCTCTCTCTCTCTCTCTCTCTCTCTCTCTCTCTCTCTCGGATTAGCCCACCCCAGTTACCCGTAACGCGTTGCATTAAGTTGCGCTTGACTTTCACAAAGGTCCCAGCCACAACCTGTACAAACAAACTGCAGCTGCCAGAAACTCGAAAAACCTTTAGAAGCCACCGCATCTGCATAAGATAAGGGTCTCGAGAATTTGACTATACCCAGGTTTAGCCAGAAACCTAAAGAATAGAATTGCAACTGCTTCAGGGTTCTATGTTAGCACCCGAAACCCAAACCCCAGAACCCCTAAACTCGAACCCCTGAGCTTAGCGCTCTTTTCAGCATGGGCTTGGGTTGTGTGCCAGAACCTTCTCCTTTGACGAGGGATGCAAATGTGGGAGTGAGAGAAACACAAGAACGAAACAAGCATCGACCATCTCCAGAGCGATCTCTAATTAACCCCTAAACCCGAACCACTAACCTTAGTGCCCTGAACCATAACTGCCCGAGCTGCTGAAGCGCGAGGTAGAAGTGTGCAAGTCGAGCAGCTTCGCGGTCGTCGCGCCTGGGGCGGGGACTGAAAGGTTTAGGGCTTTCTTGACACTCACTCTCAGACAAGCCTGGCAAGGTCTGCAGCGAAAGAGGCTCACTGTTCGCCACTCCTAAATTGATTCACTTAGGAGTTCGCATCGCTGTTAAGCTCAGGTTATAGGGCTTTGGGATTGAGTGCTTGGGCTTTTGGGCGTTATGCTTTGCAGTTTCGTGGGTTGGTGCTTTAAAATATATCGGCAGAGTTTAGGTTTGAAGCATTTTGGGCTTCGGATTCTTGAAATTTAGCTTGATGGAGAGGCCATACTAGTATTATTGCTATGACTACTATTACTTCTATTACTAGTATTACTACCATTACTACTATTACAAGTATTATTACTATTAGGGTTAAGCCATCCCTCGAACTGCCATGATGTTGTCGGTAGGTTCCCTACAAGCTCTACCCTATAGAGAGGGTTGCTTAGAAACCCGAAACCCAAAACCCCAAGCCGTTAACCCTAAAACATATATATATATATATATATATATACATAGTTATACACATACCGTTACATATACATAATATATCCATATATATATATATATATAGAGAGAGAGAGAGAGAGAGTGAGTGACTGAAGTGATCTAGTTTAGGACAGGCATATCAGAAGTTCAGGGCTTGTTGTGAGGGCTTACGAAGTGCCCACCCGATATGTACGCTACCCAAGGTGTGATTATTAATTGAAGCTCGTACTAATTAGTAGCAGTCGTTGTCGTAGCAGCAGTAAGTAGCAGCAGCAACAACGGGAGCAGGAGCAGGAGCAGGAGCAATAGCAATAGCGGTAGCAGTAGCAGTAGCAGAAGCGGCAGCAGTAGCAGTAGCAGTAGCAGTAGCAGTAGCAGTAGCAGTAGCAGTAGCAGTAGCAGTAGCAGCAGCAGCAGCAGCAGCAGTAGCAGTAGCAGCCGCAGCATCACCTGCAGTACTAGTACTACTACACTACTACGACGACGACGAGTTCAAGCGAGCCCAAGCCCTAACCCTATACTCATGCTCCTAAATACTTGCAAATTCTAAATGTTCAATCCTTTCATGGGACGGTCATGGCAATCGCAGTTCGCAGGTGGGCCTCACGTGTGCGTGTGGGGATTCGGCTCGCTGTAGGCAGCGCGTTAAGTACGTCTCCTGCCGTCTACCATGCGATTCGGTGGCTGGAGTGCTTGGGTTGCATTCGGATTTGCTGCGAGGTTCCTGAAGGGCTTGGTAGGAAGCGGAAACGGGGCTGGCCAGGGCTAGGAATTACAAGTCGTCTGTTGTGAAACAGAGGCAGGGTATGGCAGGGTCCAGTCCAGGGTCGGTGCATCCACCACAGCGAGTGGTTGCAAGCTCTTTGACGATCTTTGTCGGTTCAGGGTCTTCGGAGTTTTCCGGAGCGAGCTTCTTCCAAGGCTCTATATGCAAAGCGCCTTTACTAAGCTCAGTCGGCTGCTTCGAGCTGAGCACTCAAGACGTCAAGCTTGCGCTACATCACGTGGGATACCAAGCAAGACTTACCTGCAATGTCATGCCTTACGCAACCGCAGGCAATACTGGGACCTCCTATTCCACGGTTCCCAACTAGTCGGGGGTCTGGGAAGCGAGAACCCGATGGAAACCCCCAACAAGTCCTGCAAGCCTTGCAGGCTTCACCACGGCAACCAAACATCCCAATACGCCCTCCACCATTCAGTCTTCGGCAATCTATCCTTGTCAAACGGGGATGAGTGGGAGTTTGTCCTAAATCGTAAATAATGTATGTGCTATAGGTGTCTGCCGAAACTATATCGAAACCAAACACCGAAGCTTTAAATTGAGACCGAAGACCCATCCTTCACTGCTTTAGGATTGAAGGCTTGGGGAGTCCCTGGGGAGCCCGTGGGCCTCCCCAAGGAGGTCCCCCTGAGTGCGTCGGCGGATCGCCCGCGCCAGCAGCGCCGCTGGACGCAGGTCGCGCATGGGTCGTCGAAGGACGATTTTAAAGGACGAGGCGGGCTCAAGGGGGCGCTGGGGCTTAAGATCCTTGGGGCTTTAAGGCTTTAGGGTCTGGGACTAAGGGTTCAAAGTTTGAAAGCATTTATGCCTTGATACTACTGTACATTAGAAGTACTTCTATTCGTTCATGCTGCAACTGTCTGCGATGTTGCTGGGAGCAGCAGTCGTCGTCCTGTTGTGGTCTGTTCCAGACAGTACTCTTGTGACATACCTAGCATGACCACCGGAAGTGCTCTCAAAGCGGCCGGTCAACAACGATTCTTTCAAACGCGCTGGCGTCCAGGCTGCGGCATGCACGGAAGCACTCATTGTGGGCGTTTTGCGCGGCATACCCGAACATAGGATGCTACCTAGACTCGTCAACGAAGGGGCTTAAAGGATCAAACAAATACATTATGTGAAATCAAGTACAACATAGGAGAGACATGGGAAGTGGCAGTCTTGATGAGCACTCTATTTCATTCAGTATCTCAATATGTTCGCATGTAAGAGGTCCCTGAGCCAAAGCTTCTTTTCTTTGCCACGCCTCTTTAAACCTAGGATGCTACAATCTGCGAAGGTGCGTTGTCATCCTTATGGTCCGTCGATACCACATTATTGAGCTGCTGTCGCGGAAGTTACCCGCCTGCACCAGCGCCCAACTGTCAACTTGCAATCAGGTCCCTATTTCTTCTTAGAAACTCTTAGGGTAGATAGTGGCTCAAGGCAAACGACCATCAAATGAGGATCTCACCACGCAGCATACGCAGCTTTCTGAGCTCGCAGCCATGCAGGCTTGTATATGTATAAAGGCCCAAGGTTAAAGGTTTCTATGGTTAAATTATTTACACCCCCAACGCTGGAACCTTTACATGTTCACAAAACGTACTTGGGCCCTGCATCAGCCAACTCTGATGCCATGCCGCACCGATCCCTGAACCCTCCACCACAGAACATCTCGAACTAGAACTTTTTCTGAACTACATCGTTATATGCCTAAACTCGAACTGCCCCTAAACTCCTAAACCGAATTCTGAGCCGAGCCTGGTCCTGGTAGCTCGATCGTCTCCCACGCGGCTGGAGTAGCTGCCTGCCGCGGACTCAGGCTAAGGTTTAGTGTTTCTACTCGCACACTCGCTCGAGGCAGGCACGGCTTCATGAAGTCTCGTTTAGGGTTTATACAGGTGTTTTGTAAGAGCGCCGTTTCGATCCGCAGAAAAGCATCTGGGAATCTAGGTTTAGGGCCTAGGGTTTCGGGTAGAGGGGTTCAACGAAATTGAAGTCTGTCTGGGATGTCAGGTTTAGTGTTGAAACTCAAAGCTTCGTAAGGCTTCGTGGTCGGGAGTTAGGACTCGGTGCTTGGGGGAAGGGCAGGTGTCAAGAGGGGCTTCCGTAACTCTCATGCATACAACTCACAATGTTTCAGGCCACGAGATCACCCCTGCAGATACAAGGAGTTCGATCGGGCGGACGATTCCTGGCTGCTTTGAAAAAAGTCCTAGGCCTGGCCCACACCGCAATCACCCTGAAACCCACATCCACCAGGCCCAAAGCAAGTTCAGTTCAGTGCTTGAACTCGCCTTCTCAAGTGAAGGCTGGTGGGTGCGACACGGACGCCACTCTCAGCCTGTCCACACTTTATGTAAGCCCTACACCCCAAAACGCTTCTTGAGCAGGGGCTGCAGTGCAAAACACTAAACCCGTGACACTCAGTCGACACCCAGACCCTATCATAAAACCCTGGATGCCCAAGCATTGGAAGCAAAGCTGCCCTGGCAACAACAGAACAGGAGCAGGAAGCTCCCAACACACACCCCATGTAGCAATAACCCAAACTACATGACGAAGGTGACATGTCATTATGACGTTCAATGCTAAGGACAATAAGATGGCAACAAAAAGAACAGATTTCCATTGCCGAATTTACTGATACACCATCCCAAGATTTGCTCCGCCGGCCTTTTGAGCTACCTGTACCTAGGTCACAGGCTGCAGGAGTGGTTGTGGTAGCTGAGGGGTTCGGGGATTAGTAGCACACCTACCGTTCTGTCACATACCATCAGGGTTTACAAAGAAAGGTCCCAAGTCCAAACCATAGAGCGTGAACCTTAACACACAAACTCTTAAGATCATCTTTAAGCCCCAAACTCGAGGTCTCTATCCTTTGCAGAACTCGAGGGAACAGGCCTTGGGCTCAATATGATCTTCAGACCTTGCAGTTTTGAGCTTCATATAAAAGAGGCGTCAAAAACTAAGAACAGAACCAAGCAACTTCAACAGTACTGGGCTTAGGGCCCAAAGCGGTCTTACATGCCAATGATGTGAGGGATCACATTGGTAATGCCAATAGCAACGGCGAGAACAATAATGAAATATTGAAAGCTTCGCATTGGAACTCAGAGAGCCTTGAGGCTTACGGCCTGACTGGGCTTCCGGGTCAAGATTTGGAGCTGGGGATACATTAACCCGGAATAACCTTCCTTTCTTTTAAGGACTTATATAAGGAAATCATAATAAGCAACCTAAATACGCAGGTTTTTCTAGACCCAAGAGCAACCTAGGAATAAAAAGGGTGCCACTTTTGGTTTAAAGGGGCTTATAAGGGAACCTGAAACCTACAAAAAGGGAATAAGGGCCTACTCCAAATCCTAGTATTCAGGGTTCAGATTAGCCTAGGATTTCCGGGCACATGGCCACACTCAGAAAACAACGAGGCAGAATGATGATGGTGATGCTACAAACATCAGTGCTTTAATCCTACACCCTGAAAAGACGCACGATCCCTGATAGCCTGCTCACCTACCACATAGTCACTACATCCAACTTTGTCTGCACAACCTCGCTAACAAGTCAGGATCCTGAAATACGCAAAGATGGTAACCCCCAAAAAAAACTACCATCCAGGGTCTAGGCAAACCCTACAAGACCTTGTCGAGACTTTGCAACACCCTGTCAAACCCTTGCCAAGCTGTCAGGAATATTCCCTGTTGGTCTGTTTCTACGCCATAATGTTATCCCCCAAAACCCTATCCTAATTTCTTTAAGGCCCCTATGTTCGCTGGACCATACGCAAGAAGACACCTGAGGCTCTGACCCAAGCGGAGCCGTCGAAACGCTCGACGGACAGCAGCCTCAAGGTGGTTTGCGGGCTCCCGGGATTTTTCCCACCCGCCCAGCTGACAATGTCGCACCGCAGGGAGCTCGTCCGAAACTAGTCACAGGATTCCGGGCTTCGGTTTTAGGGTGGTGTTCAGGGCTCTCGCCCACATTCCCGACTGCATCCAGACCTCTTCAAGCTGCCGGGAACCCCCCAAAAAAATCGCCTGAACCCTTTTTGCAGCAGGCCTCGTTGTCCAGCAGCCCGGTTACAGCAAGAGCCCGCCTTTCCCCGCCTGAACCCTAAACCCTGATTCCTGCACATAATGACACGAAGCTCTTATAAATCCTGTAATAAACCTTTACCAAGCTCCAGGGCGCCAAACCCTGCATCCACTGGAGAACCACTTGCGCAGTGTTCATCGCTAACCACCTGACATGTTGGAGTCCCTAGGACATCCTCCGAAATAGGGTCCTGATACATCGTATGTTATATATTACACTATTTCAAAACATCGCATACTATGCATATAATGGTACACATATTTATACATGTATGTATATGCTGTATACTGTATTATACATTCGACATTATGTCTTATGTGATGTAAATGATCCACTACGTACCGAGTATCCCGGCCGAGCTCCGAAACCAGTCCGGGCTGTCTGGAAGATCTGGACCTGAGCTTCGGGGCCTTTTTTGGGTCTTGGGTTTGAGGATTTGGGCTTTAGGGTTCCTAGGGTTTTAAGGTTTCGATGCTCACATCCGCACAAGGCAGGCAAGGGGCTTCGGGTTTCGGGTTTTGTTGGCTTAGGGTTTCGGTTTTAGGGTTTAGGGTTTCGACGCTCACGCTCGCACGAGGCAGGCAAGGCTCCACATAGTCCACAGAATCACAACTAAGAGTGTGCAATGCTCCAACACATGAAGCAACCACAACACAACAAAGCCAGTGATACAAGCTAAGCACAAACAAAGGAACCTAGACATACGACTCAATGGCATAAGATACAATGACATGTGCTCGGGGCGATCGCTGAGGCTAAATTGTCTACCTTGAGACATTCCTATTTCAAAAGGGCTATCCCTCACCGCACCCAATCGACCTCCGGTCTACGCTCCGCCCATCACTGAATCTCGCAATGCATTCTCATGCACCAGCAGAAGAAGGTTTAGGGTTTAGGTTTCAGGGTTTATGGTCTACGGCTTGGATGGCTTGGGGTTTAGGGCTTGGCGTTTACGGTTTAAGGTCTGACGGGGAAAACAATGTTGTAGGTTAAAGGCTTATACGGTTTGAATGGGGCATATAGGGTTCTATATTTGGTGTTATATCCTAGGGCGATACTGATGTAGGGCTTCAGGGCTCTGTGATTTAGGGCAATACGGTCTACGGTTCATGCAGGGCTTTGGCGTTTCAGAGCGTCTCGAGGCTGCTCCGGCATTTTCGGTTCAGACCTTGGGGTTGCGATCGGGCTGATACTGGGCTCTTGTGGAGGGATGTAATTCAGGCTACCATAAAAGAAAACCATATTATTTAATTCGTATAGATCCCTGATATGGTAGCTTAAATTAATCAAGTTCCGTGGCAATTACCCAATATAGGATCGCCACACTGAAGCCTACACCCTGATTCCCTGGGTGTGCTTTTTCGCCTGTTCGCAGATTCAAAGTCGCGCCTGGCCTGGGTTTTCCTAAGGAGGGCAATAGGGCCTCAGATGCTGGGCCGTCATACATAGAATGGCATTCGATGGAGTGTTCTTTACAGCGCGCTGTATGCAATGCCAGTAATTCTCGATGCTTCCGGATATAGGGGCCTTAGAATGAGAACGGGGTGCTGGCTATAATCAACTGTTAAAGCAAAGGCACTGTAAGGGGCAACAAGTGTGTAAGC